TCAATAAATATAAACCAACATTGTTTTGGCTTCTGTCTGAAAATATAAAAGAACCCATAAACCACAAGAGCATTAATCGAGCCATTTGTTGATACATGATCTCCGGAGAACCTACAAAAACAACACTTCAAACCTTCATATTTGTTTGGCCGAAAAAGTAATTAATTGAAATTATATTAAAAAATATAAATAAATTACCTTCAAGGATTGCAAGGTTCGTCGCTGCCTCTACAACGAAAATCTTAAGTGTATTTCCAACTATTCGACCCTCGGCAGGGGTGAATCCCAACATCTCTTGGCAAATTGATTGTTATTCCGCCATACCACGGTTTGGCGCTACACCACAAACCATGTTCCCATCGACCTGGAGACCAAATGGGACTTCCACATCTTGCAACGTTATGGTTGCCTCACCGAAAAGAAAGTGAAAAGTGTGTGTCTTAGGTCTCCATCGTTCTACCAATGCGGTGATGAGACAATTATCACACTTTTTGCAACCTATTTTCAATACCCCCTCGAACCCGGCGCTTGCTATGAGGGTTCGTACTTGCGGAGGGGTAAAATTACTATAGTAGCACTCCCAAAACTTATAATCAAACTGATGACTTTTTAAATGTTTGTTTTTGATCGATGAATCGGAGCCATGATAGACTAGTAAACTCCGATTTTCATCTTGAAGATACAAATGTTCCCTTCCTATGGGACCGGGTTGAAGAAACCACTGACTATATTGTGGACTGGGTAAATCCTCCATCAAAGACTACACCACAACAAAAATAAAACAATAAAAAAAAAACCACTTAAACAACACTATATATACATAAACAATACTAATAACAACACTATATAAACAAATCAATTACATCCTAAACTCAACAAACACAATTACAACTATAAACAATTCCACAATTCCAACAAGCACCACTTGTTCGTCGAGCACGGTAACCCATTTGCATCTTGCGTCTCCTTCTTTGGTGTCAGCCCGGACCGCCATTTTGCACGAGCTTCTTGTAATTCGGATAGAGTTTCCAATTAACCATAGGCCATTGTTGCTCATCAGGCACCGGTGAAAAACCAATGTATTTGAATTGTTTGATCCATGTTTGACGCCTCCAACACTTATGGTATAGAGAAACATATTGATCACCTTTTTGTTGTGCGACGGCAAGCACGTGCGTACACGGCATCCGGTACTCTTGCCATTTCTTGTACGAATACCTTTTGTCGTTGTAGGTGACCGTATACACCGCCCCACCCCTTCCACTAGGCCGTGTTAGAGTTTTCACCTCCCAACTATCATTGTTGCCATCGTACGGTTCGGCATCATAGGTGGCGGCTTTGTTGTTCTTCTCTTTGTAGACTTTCTATAGCTCAGGGGGATAGGCGTACAACTCGTCACCAATAACAATTTTGTTCGGTAAAATTTCACTATTTTGTGGAATGTAACATTGATCATAGCTCTAATAGGCAAAAACTAAATCCTTTTTAGGGCATTGTTGTAACTCTCGGAGATGTTTGTAGTTGTGACTCCCCAACGACGACGTACGGCCTTCAAACGAGTCTAATTATACCCTCCTATGTTACGAAAATACTCCCATGCTTCATGTTTGAATTCACGGAGCTCTTGCCTCAGTCGTTTGAATTTTTCGAAATTAAGCGCCTTCTCTATATTTTGGCATAATCGCTTGACTCTCGCACTCCTATACTTCGACACTAGATTGCTCCAAACGTGCCGGAGGCAATACACATAGGCCCCATCACATAAATTGCTTCATTCTGGTATTTCCGACATTGCCCTAAAAAACCCAGCGTTCCGGTCAGAAATCACACTAACTTTTGTGTCACCCACAACATGATACCTCAAATGTTTCTGAAAAAAGCCCAATTTTCACTGGTCTCTTCATCCACTACGGCGAATGCAACCGGCAAAATATGTTTGTTTGCAGTATACACCACAGCAACTAGCAACTTAACTTTATATCCCCCGCGTAGGTGTGTTCTATTAACAGAAATCACAGGCAGACCTTCAATGAAAGTCACAAGTATTGGTGCAAATGACCAAAACGCGTATTTAAAAGTCATCCTTCCCATATTCTAACCTTCTTCTCCATCCTTCCATTCCCCTTCCACTACAGTTTCAGGATTAGTACTCTTAAGTACTTCAATATACCTATACATCAAGTTTGCCGAGTTAATATATGTCAATACAAGTAAAAACTAAAACAAATTAATTGATATTTATCAAAATTAAAATTTACTTAGGAAGATCTTCAAAATTGGAGGATCAATCGCCATAAACCGCCTCTATGGCTTTCCTTCTCCCAATCTACGCCCTTTTGTAGTGGACATCAACTTTTGTCAACTCTTTCACATCTTTTTGCACCGATTTTACAGTGTAATCCATGTTGCTCGCAACCTTTCTCATGATTAGTCTAGCAATAAACGTCAAGTCCGCACAACGGTTGTCATTATCGTTAACCACCCTCATGCAATTGTGTATGGACCTCCATTTTACCATTTGATGCAAGCCATGCTTTCCTAGTGATACGTGGATCCTCCATTTGCATATAGGTTCGCCATCTTGGAGGAGAGGGAGGGGAGGCGGGAATCTTGTGTCCTACATCGAACCGCCCACGTCTTAGGGTTACTCGCGATAACCTTTAACTCCCTTTTATTGTGGATGTTCCACAACTTCATGGTATGTTTCACTTCTCCTTTGGACTTGAAACAAACTTTAATGCACATCCCTTCGGGTGTCTCGTCCCACATTTTTATATCAAGATCATCCTTCTAAACACGCGAGGCATTTCATTCACCCATTTTCTTATACACATGGTGCCGGAAATGGATTTAGTTTCCTTTCTTCATTCACAAATTCTTCATCATCACTTTCCTCATCATCAATAGGATCTCGTGCTTCCAGGCTTTCGCTTGGAGCTACATAGTCGGAATCATCATCATCCATGTGATCATCTTGTGTAAATAAACTTCCACCATCTTCTTCATGAACCCTTGAAGTACTTGCTTGTTCTTGCCTTGGACCATCTTGTTTCACCCTCATCCATATGATCATCTTGTGCAAAAAAAGATCCACTATAATGATTGTTCACATCTTCTTGGTTAGTGATATCCTCCGTCTCTATGTACAAATCCACACTTGTCATTGGCTCGAGGTGATAGATGATCCCAACATGTGAATCATTCTTTATCTTCCTGGCGCGCCTTACACCGTGAGTCACAAATATTAACGAAATGTAGAGTTTTCTAGCTATTTCAAGATTCCAACCAAAGGTCACACAAATCAAACCAAACAACTCATCATATGACAATCTACTATCAATAACAAGAGTGTCGTCCGGCTTGTTCTCAAATGTGTTCATTACACCATTCTTTATCACATACTTGCTTCTATGAAACGAATTAAATATGTATAGCCCGTGGGCGGATATTTTAATTGTTTATTAAGGGACAAAAAAATTGTTAACTATATTAATCGTAATCTCACCTTAAAAAAAAAAACAATTCTCACCTATAAAAAAAAACAATTCTCACCTTAAAAAAATAAAAAACAACAACAACAACAACAACAATTCTCACCTAAAAAAAAAAACAATTCTCACCTAAAAAAAATAAACAACAATTCTCACCTTTAAAAAAAAAACAACAATAATTCTCATTAAATTATCCGTACAAATTATCCCTAAACCCTATCAATTATCCATATAAACAAAATCCATCCAAATTCATTAAATTAACCTCTATCAATTCTTAAAACAACAACAATCCTAACCTATAAACTCAACAACAACATCTACATTCCCATATTACATTCATAATCATCAATCCTAAGCTCTACCAATTTTTCATCTTCAAAACAATATAAATACACAATAAAACAACTAAAAAAAACATTGATTTAATGACTAACCTCGTTAGAATAATGATTCTTGTTGCATTTAGCGGTAATGTGCGTCCAAAAGCCTGAAGAACTCCGGCCACAATCTTCCCTAACCCTCAAAAATTGAAAAACCCGATATGAAGGGAAGTTGCAACTTTTTCTTTTTATATCACGTATGATTCGGATTTGGCAAATCCAAGAATCACTATTCATTAGTACGCTCGGATTACCCAAATCTGAGTGTACGTCACCTTATCTGATCCGATTTAAGACATCTAACAACCTTATCCACAAGGACAGATTACCCTTAAACCGAAAAGAAGCCCTCGGATTTGACAAATCCGAAACCTAACCCTAAACCCTAAACTCTATAACTCGGATTTGGCAAATTCGAAATCACTGTTCTAAATTTTGAATTTGCCCGTCATTTTTATGCATTTTTGGAATATTAAATTTTAATAGCTTTCGGATTACGCAAATCCGAGGTCACTGTTTACCTATTGACCCTATTTTCTATATTTTGTAAAATAAGGAAAACATATAATTTTTTATTATATTTTAGTGCTTCGGATTTGGGAAATCCGAAAGTTCGATTAATTAGACTCTCGGATTTGCCAAATCCAGAACAACTACTTATGTCCAAAAAAAAAAAAAGTAAAATTTTTTTTGTCCACATCAATTTTTTTAAATTTTTTTGGCCGAAGCACCCGCCAAATTTATCACTACATATTTGATATATTTTCAGTCACAAAACCCTCTTGGGAGTTTATAACTGATGTTTTATCTTTTTCATTATAACACTCGTAAATAGTTTCATTGCGATGTATTACCACGCTTTCACGTACTTAGAAATGTAGTGATTTTAATTTATTCCTTTTTTTTCCTCTCCTTATCAAAAATTATTTTCTTGTTTACTAAAAAATACGCAGATTATTTCGGAACGGTAAAAATGTAAAAGACAAATAAACAATCCAATGTTGGAATGTTTAACAATGTCTTCACAATCTTGGAATAAGATAGAAACAAATTAGGTGGATGATTATTTTTTATTTTTGGTTATTCAGGGATATTATTTTGTTGTCTCAAAAGGGCAAAAAAAAAAAAAAAAGAGAAAAAAGATTCTTGGAGAGGATAAAGCTGAAAAGCATTTGAGGGGCAAGAACTAATCTCCCGCCTCAAATCAGCCGAATGAGCTCATGTCGGCTTTGCGCTATTTCCATGCACGTGAATCTTCCGTCTTCTTCTTTCCCGCACAACTGTCTCACCGCCGTCGTCCCCGCCGGGCCGGCGGCGTATAAAAATGTCACCTCATTTCGTCACCGCCGATTTAAACTCCTCGTAATCTCTGCAGCCACTTCTTCCCCGTCCAAAGATGTCTGGCGCAGTAATCAGTCAAATCCCTCACCCACACACCATGTTTACCGCCGGAAGCAGAACGGTGCCGACTATATCGACCGGTGCTTCAACATGGAGGAGCTTTTGTCGTCAATTGGGCAAACCACCAACGAGCAGGAACTATACGCTTTAATGTCGCCTTACAAAGACCGGTCGCTGTCGATTCGGTTCATGGTGAGATTGCTGTCTAAGGAGCCGGATTGGCAACGGTCGCTTGCGTTGCTCGATTGGATTCACGAGGAAGCCCTTTACACTCCCTCGGTGTTCGCGTACAACGTTGTGCTGCGCAATGTGCTTCGTGCTAAGCAATGGGAGTTGGCCCACGGTCTGTTTGATGAAATGCGTCAGAGAGCTCTGTCTCCAGATAGGTACACTTACTCTACTCTCATTACCCAATTTGGGAAAGAGGGTCTGTTTGATGATGCTTTGTCCTGGCTTCAGAAGATGGAAAATGATCGGGTGTCTGGTGATCTGGTTTTGTATAGCAACCTGATTGAATTATCACGCAAACTGTGCGATTATTCCAAGGCTATTTCTATTTTCACGAGGTTGAAGAGGTCCGGAATTACACCTGATCTTGTCGCCTATAATACAATGATTAATGTGTTCGGGAAAGCTAAGCTTTTCCGGGAAGCTAGGATGTTAATTAAAGAGATGAGATCGGCTGGAGTTGTTCCAGATACAGTAAGCTATTCCACGCTTTTGAACATGTTTGTGGAGAATCACAAGTTCGTGGAAGCAATGTCAGTCTTTTCTGAGATGAATGAGGTCAGGTGTCCACTTGACCTTACTACGTGCAACATTATGATTGACGTATACGGGCAGCTTGATATGGCCAAGGAAGCAGATAGGCTTTTCTGGAGTATGAGGAAGATGGGAATTGAGCAGAATGTCGTTAGTTACAATACACTCTTGAAGGTATACGGAGAGGCTGAGCTTTTTGGGGAAGCCATACATTTGTTTAGGCTGATGCAGAGAAAGGGTATTGAGCAGAATGTTGTCACATATAACACCATGATCAAGATATATGGAAAGACCATGGAACACGAAAAGGCAAATAATCTTATTCAAGATATGAAAAATAGAGGGATCGAACCTAATGCCATTACTTATTCAACAATAATATCCATATGGGGCAAGGTAGGGAAGTTGGATCGTGCTGCAATGCTGTTTCAGAAACTACGAAGCTCTGGTGTTCAAATAGATCAGGTGCTTTACCAGACTATGATTGTTGCATATGAGCAGGCTGGCTTGGTTGCTCATGCCAAACGCTTGCTACATGAGCTTAAATGCCCTGATAATATTCCAAGGGGAACAGCTATCACTATTCTGGCTCGCGCTGGTCGAATAGAAGAGGCAACATGGGTTTTCCGACAAGCCTTTGATGCTGGTGAAATAAAAGATATAGCAGTTTTCGAGAGCATGATAGATTTATTCTCCAGAAATAGAAAATACACAAATGTACTTGAGGTGTTTGCAAAGATGAGATTGGCAGGATACTATCCAGGTTCTAATGTTATTTCTCTAGTGCTGAATGCTTACGGCAAGCTGCATGAGTTTGAGAAGGCAGATTCCTTGTATAAGGAAATGCAGGAAGAAGGTTGTGCTTTCTCAGATGAAGTTCACTTTCAGATGCTGAGTCTTTATGGCGGAAGAAAGGATTTTGAAATGGTGGAATCTTTGTTTCGGCAACTGGACTCCAATCCAAATATTAACAAGAAAGAGTTGCATCTAGTTGTTTCTGGTATATATGAAAGAGCGAATAGGTTGAATGATGCATCGCGAATCATGAACCAGCTAAGTGAGAGAGGTATTCTAAGGTTATGATTTGTTTCCAATTTATAAACCATGCTTGTCATTGCATGGAGTAACAGTAATCCAACTTGTTGTATACTACACATTCTTAACGTATTGCACATGTAAATATTGTTCTTGGGAGCCTCCTGAGTTGCTTTCCCTTAGTCTGAGACGAAGGTAATCTCTAGTCTATTTAGGCTACCAAGAGAACTTATAAATAAGGATTAATCTGTGACTGTTGTAAAGATGCAATGTGTTTGTTTTGAACTTTCCACAATTTGTATACTGCCTTCTTGGTTATGCATATTGATTTTCCTTATCTTTGGTTTGTATTTTATGTTCAATCTTCATCCTGAATTAGAAGCTTTTTATTTGGGCTTTCGCTCTGCGATATGTGAGAATTCATGAAGGTACATCTTGGATTTGAAACATTGTTATTAACAGCTCTTATTATTACAAGGGAAAATTTTCAACTCATAAACCTTTTGTGTTTTTGTCCGTGTGCCTATTAAGATAAGAGAGCTAAAAGTATGGAATATAGAAGTTTTGAAAGAATCATAGGAAAGATATTATACAAGAGATATCTGATGGAAAAAGTCTACTCCCTCTCTTCTAGTTAGTTGACACTGGTGAGGCTAAAGCATGCTGCTGCATTCCTTAGCTCATTGTTGGACACATGCTCTACAGACTCTGGAAAATCCGGAAATGAGGATCTTGAGCTGGAGAAAAAGAGAAATTGAAGTTTGATGATGAGTGTTATAGACAAATAATGAAATAGTAGTATATATTGAAACGCTTTCTGGGTGAAACTTGCAGAAAAGTGTGCATACCTGGATTCAGAAGCTTCCTTAGTTTCAATGTAAGACACTCTGTCATCCACTGCTGCATTGAATTCCATATTTTCATAGTCCTGCAAATGTCGTATTTCTGGGTTGACTCCAAATGTATGTTCTGCATCAGCTGCAACCGGAACTTGATTCAAGACTGGGTTATTATTTCTCATCAAATCATAGTAAGCATCTGTTTGCCCGTAGAAATTGTCCACACCCAACAAAGGTTTGGCCAAGCCGAGATGCTCAATGGATTCAGCAGCGTGATGAACAGCATCATTGCCATTTCCATAATTCTCATTCAGCATAGGGATATCCATCACAAAAGGCATTTCGTAGTCCTGGCTGCTGTTGCCAGCAGAATGATGTTGAAAAACTAGCGGAGCATCCATACTACCATTGATGCCTAACTGTAATTGTGATTGGGGAGAGTAATCCGAAGCTGGAACCACCTGGTGATTATTAAGATACTGCTCGCGATAGAAAGCAAGCTGCGAATACACGTGTTGGAGTTCTTGAATGGTTAGGCGCAGTTGCTGACGAAGTTGGTGGATGATCCCTGCACAACCATAAACCGGGTACCTCTCACGCATATCTGACTCGTACTTAATGGACTTCATTGCTTCTTCCTTCTGTTCAAGAGTATTCAGCTGCTTAAGTATTTTCATAATGTTGGACACCCCGAAAAGCCTGTGTGCATTCTGGAACGCCTTTGCTTGATTAGCCGGAAAATAAGGGGCAAGGATGCAATCGGACGAGCACTTCCTCCTCTGGTATTTGCAGGAAGCACAGGCCGGGCTTGTACCGCCTTTTACCGTCATATCTATAGCTGGTTTTGAAGGTGGAATGATGGAAAAGCAGTACAGTGAGAAGGGTCAGTTGAGTTGGTTTTCGGAACAAACATGATATATGATCGCACTCATGTGAAAAGAGAGCGGAGAAGAGAGAGTAGTAAAGCTAGTAATGGTGAAGAAAACTGAGAGAAAAACCTCAGCCCAGTGGGGAGAGATGCAAATATTTTCACCATTTTCAAATCCAAATTCAAGTACAAGCCACGTGTGAGATCTTGCTGGTTAAGAAGACTCAGTAAATGCTATGAAATCCGATTCTGTGGGAAGATCCGTTTGAAGTTTGAAGAAATTATTGGGATTTTTAAGTTATAGTTACAACAGCATAGAAGGCAAAAAGTATTTAGTCATGATATTGGTTAAGGTAAATTGTTAAAGAGGTTATAACAGTACATGTTTAAGATCACGTGGATGCTATAATTAGCGCTGAGAAAATATACATATCCAAACGAGATGACTAAAATATCAAATCACACCATTGATAACAGATGCATTTTTGTTTACTTGAAAAGGACAATTTCGTTCTTTTACATGCATAAATACCAGTCAATTTTCCAATTTACCCTACATTTTTAGTTCTTTACTAACTCTGTCATTGTTCTAAAATTAGAGTGTGACTTAGTTGAGTAAAAATGATTTTGTGTTTTCTGGCATTTTATGCGGTTAAGATTTGAGTAGAAAATCTAAACACCAAGACAAATCTTAACTTAATATTTATCTCTTTCCAGTCCATCCACCTATGACCTTGTCGCTACCAGTAACTGGTAGACTATTTCAGACGTGAGGGTTTTTAGATATTTTCAGTCATTCTCCTGAGTTTCTTTAATTACAAAATCTTTTCTGCTTATCTAAATTTAAATTAAACACTTGACTCGTATTTATCAAAATGAGGATGATACTGATATTTTGCTTTTATTGACGATTAAAACATACTCTCTCTGTTCCAAAATTATTGTCCAGTTTGAGATTTTACTTTTACTACAATTTGAATTAGAAATGAAAACTCAAACCAGATAATAATTATAGGACGGAGTGAAGTGAGTATATTTTTTAGATTATTATGCAGTTTTTGACGAAATCAAAGTGCTAATAAACAATGAAATGAAATGAAAATACCATTACTCACCAATTTCTTGGATGCTTTGTTCCTTTTTTTTTTTGGCCGGGGGTGAAGGGGATGAATTTTATTTTATTTTTAATACCTAGGAAGCCATTGGTTGGTTTACTAGACATCCTTTATTCGGGATATACAAACCATGTCTAGTGCAACAAGTTCTAGTATTTTAGTCGGGAATGTTTTCAAAATACAGAACGAGAATCTGAATTTCGCTAATGAGTCAGCTAACCTGTTTCTTGACTGGCGAATACACGGATTATTATCACCTCCCAATTATAGTTTAGTAATTATTTTATCTAGTATTCCATATGTCCACAAAAATAAACTACTTTTAAGAAGATAATACTCCCTCCTGTTCTTTTAATAGACATTTGTTTTACTTTTCCTAGGTTTCATCTAATAGCATTTTTAATTGACAAAAAAATCTTAAAAATATTTCATAATAATCAAGAGAACACAAAAAATATGAAAATATATTTTTAAGATTTTTTATTAATAAAAAATACGTACTAGGTGAAACCTAGGTGAAATCAAAATGACTTATATTAAGTACTGTGGGGAGTACAATTTACGAATTACAATATGGACTAGTTTTTTAGAAGTGAATAGTATAAAACTAGCAAGTGATAGTCAAACCCTACAAAGATAGAAACTAATTACTCACCATCAAAGCATGCTGTTGTATGTAAGGAATCACATTGAGCCATTCACTACGCACTATATTGCCACATTTGAACCTATCAACACGGTGTACATTTAAGTTTTAAACTTTCTTAATTATTTATAAATTGCGACTTCTAAAATTGACATATATGTTTTTAAATTAACCTTCTTTTTTATTTTTACTTATTAGAAAAAAAGGAAAAAAAAATTTACAATGAATAATCATATTCATTCATTTTAATACTTTTTATTTAGGATTTCTATATTTTGTTAAAAAAAAATTCATGCAATGAAAGCCATAACTATACAAGTCATTTATTTTGTTTTTCATTTTTTTTTACAGAAGTTAAATAAAATTTTTTGGTGGTAGAAAACATTAATAAAATCATGCTCCAATCACACTTTCGTGATGCCAAATAATCAACCAATAAAATAAAATAGTAATAATCAACCGTAAGATTAGATTCATGATAAATATGTTGAATCTTCACATGCCACCAAATCATTTCACTTAAGATCAAGTAATTAAATATGGTAGCAATTAGTATTGTTTGTTCGTAGGATATTTTAGCTCAAATAAATTTGAGAAAAAAAAAATACAGATAAACAGGGTTTGTTATATTTCTAGACAACCCACCTTCTCAATGTACCATTTTATAGGGTCCATTACAGTTAGACCACATGTTACCAGCTCCGGCAGCCATGCAAAATTCTTGGCCTTTCTTACCATCCGCCGTAGATTTTGTACTTATATATATATCACTCTCCCGCACCCCACACACCAAACTGATCGATCACAAAAACAAAACGTTATTGAATTCCTTAATCTATCGATTCTGATCCGACGATAAGGAAGTCAAATACTCGACAATTCTTGTTGTTACAGTTTTAATTCAAATATTTCAACAACGTTGTCTTGCACTCGATTTTCTTATCGATCGATTTATTCAGGTATATGTACACGTAGTTGCATTGATTAAGTCTGTAATAACAATCATAATTACTAAAGCTTGTTATTTGTTCATCGGTCTCCATATACTCGGTTCGATTGTAAGTAGTGTGTTTCTGGTTGTATCTTACTTTTTATGAATTGTCGATGGACGATTTCTAACAATTTAACAAATTTATCTTTCATTTTTTTTACAAAAAAAAAACATATATACTAAAGCTTTGATTTTATTGTTTTTGAAAAAAAAAATAGAGTTCTTTTTCCAGGTATTAACGTATATATAGAGTAGAGGCATAGATGCAGCTAGCATTAGCAATGGAGATTATCACAGGGGCGAAAATCCGTCTTCGGACCCGGAAAAATAAGTACCTGACCGCCGGCAGCGACAAGGAATCCGTCCGGCTTGAGCGCGACGGCTCGGCAAAGCAAGCCGTTTGGACCGTTGAGTTTGTGGACGGCAAGAGTTCGATTCGGATCAAAAGCATTTACGGCAAATATCTGACGGCCACGAACGAGCCGTTAATCCCCAAGGCGAAAGGCCATAAAGTTCTCCAAACGTTGCCGGAAAGATTGAATTCGTCGACGGAATGGGAGATGGAAAGCGATGATACGTTTGGGAAGGACAAATTGTTAAGGTTCAAAACGCATTACGGTCAATATTTACGGCCTTACGGAGGGTTACCCCCGTTTCGAAACAAGGTCGGTCACGACGTTCCTTGCCGTACTCAAACGGAGGATAAGATTCAGTGGGAATTGGAGATATTGGAGACCGGCGATCGTTGATTCTTCCGGCACCGGAAAAGTTTCCGATGGAACAAACCGATCGTACGTGTTACTATATAACAATTGTACTTATTAATCGACGGGAAAAATGAAAAAAAAAAAAAAGAAAAGAAAAAAGAATTACGTCCCTGGAATTTGCATTGTTGCAAATCTTTGAAGAGAGACGACTGCCTATGCAAAAAAAAAAAAGAAGAAAAAAAAAAAAGGAAGATGTTGATTATTGGAAAATTCATTCCTGTTCAAGAATGATTAATCATTATTATCATTATTCCCTTTGTACATTAATCTGTAGTTAGGTGTCAGAGTTAATAATACTACTATTACTGTATATTGAATTTCTAAATGCAATTTGTTAATTTTGTGGAATTCTTTAAATCACTTAAAATAACGTGGGGTTTCTGCTAGCTCATTTTGTTTGTTCTTTATTCCAGTGTGCGTTATGCACAACTTGGAAATTTAGTATTAATTCAGAATGAACTTTGATAGCAACTGCCCAGAAATATACAGGACAAAAAAAAAAAGTCAAAAGAAAATGAGATCAAGTATGAATCATTTAGCTTATGTAAGTTTTGATGCATGTACGCAGTACTTTTAGTTTAATAACTGTTGGTATTTCTTTGATTGTAGGAAGCAATGAGTTTAAGAACAATGAAATACAAGGTCATTATATGGCAAGCACTTCTTGATGCCGTACGTACCCAAGTTGATCTGGTCTTTGCCAGCCATATGGCACACCAGTCAACTGGCATCATGGGATGCCACACAAAACTTTCTTCCAACTTGCAAACCTTCAAATTAATGATTGCGACCCTTCTGATCAACTTAATTTATGCAAGAGTATATGGAGGGAGATTCTAGGTCAACTTCTTCGAGTCTTTTGATAATTCACAAACTGAATTAGCATTTTAGCACCAACTGAAAATGTCCAATCATTTTTAAAATTCCGGGAAGGCGTTTGCCAAACTGGAAAATAAGGAGTAATCTTATACTAATCATTCTGTCCAAACTGAAATCAGATTCCCCAAAAATGGAGTTTTTCAACAAGGCCAAAACCGTGAGGCTGAAAAGTCATCTCGACAAATTTCTGGTGGCCGATGAAGACGAGCAAACAGTCCGGCAAAGCCGTAACGGCGTCGAGAAGAAAGCTCGGTGGACGGTGGAATTCGTGGAAAGAAATCCTCACCTGATCAGGCTAAAGAGCAGCTACGGTAAATACCTCACAGCTTCAGATGAGCCCCTTTTTCTTACAGGTAAAAAAGTGGTGCAAACCAATCCAGAATACAAGAAAGATCCTTCCATAGAATGGGAGCCCATAAAAGATGGGTACAAAGTAAAGCTGAGAACAAAAGAAGGGAAATTCCTGAGGGCTAATGGAGCTACTCCGCCATGGAGGAACTCCATAACTCATGATCTCCCCCACAGAACAGCAACTCAAGATTGGGTTTTGTGGGAAGTTGATACTATGGAAATCTCAACTCAAGATCATCAGATTGAATATTTACAGAATAGCTGTGATTCGCCTTCTTCAAGCATTTCTTCGTTTTCAGACGACTTTTCCGGTTCAAGCAGCATTCGTTCTGTTTCCAGTCCCTCTGGAAGTTGTAAAGCATCAGTCTTCACCAATGGTGAAATTTCATCCAGTCCCGCAGCAAGCTCTAAGGCATTGAACTTCACCAATGAGAGGAATTCACCATTAAGTTTATCCAACAAGAAGAACACATCTCTAATCATAAGAGGCAGTAAAAGACAGGTACATTGAGGATTCTGTAAAAAAAAAATTTCAATTTTCAGTTAAAGGGTGTGCGAAATTCATCATAATTTTAAGAAACTCTGTTTTGAATTGAACTGATTAGACATTTTTTTTTGCCAAAACCAGGAAGGAATGGAGTTTTTTGACAAAGCTAAATCCGTAAGACTACAGAGTAGTCACGGGAAGTATTTAGTCGCCGACGAAGACGAAGAAACAGTTAAACAGAGCCGAAATGGAGCTTCAAAGAAATCGCGATGGACGGTCGAATTCGTGGACGGAAAACCAAATGTAATCCGACTCAAGAGCTGCCACGGCCGATACTTAACGGCAGTAGATAAACCATTTCTTCTAGGAGCCTCCGGGAAAAAGGTTCTCCAAACTATTCCGGCCAAATTGACGGACACAAGCATTGAATGGGAGCCGGTAAAGGAAGGACTCCATGTGAAACTGATGACAAACAGAGGGAAATTCTTGAGGGCTAATTGGGGTCCCCCGCCGTATAAGAACTCTGTAACTCATGATATTCCGCACAGAACAGCAACCCAAGAATGGATTCTTTGGGGTGTGGATATTGTGGATATTACACTTTCGGATGCAGAATCAGAGGAGAGTTCTTTGTCCCCTGCTTCAAGCTTTAATTCCCTGCAAGAAGAATATCCTTACTCGCCTTCACCTGATACTGGATCGCCAGTGCCTGGCTTCACTCCAAGGACGAGCTTCAGCGTCGATTGGCAGAGGGATGCTAGAAGTATTGGATACAGCCGCATGAGGGACAAAAGCTTAGATTTTTACCAGCAAGAGGATGCGGCAGTTAGTATTGGATCTCCGAAACATGAACAGAAACAGGTGCGCTCTGCTTCTTCTTCTTCTTCTTCGGCTTATCTTTGAATTCTATAGCAAATTGAGCTGAGTTAAATTAAGCAAAAAAAAGGGAAAAGATAGCTCATTAATTAGGGAATGCTGGGAATATTTGGATTTGTGGTAACATGGAAATTGGAATCATGAAAATGGCTTTGATCAAGCAAAGCTCAACAAAATTGAAAACAAATTGAAATCTCATGTTAGACGTTAAAAAGGTCATTCAACTTACATTGATATTTTTCTTCTTCTTTTTTTTTTTTTGGTACGTGCTAAGTAATCACAAGAGTTCACACTTCTCAGAACATGGAGCCTTAACAACTATAACACGAATTAGTCTTGATCATAATTGTTAAAACGAATTTTCTACTAGACAGGAACGTTATAAGTTGCTTTAAGCCAAAGCTTTACTGTTCTTTGGGGGACCTATTTTTCCTTTTTTTTTTTTTTGGTTTGATAAATGTAGTTTTCCTTCTCCAAAAATAAAGTCAGCAAAATGATAAGAAAATGGAATAAAATTATGAGGAACGCATATGACTAGATTAATCACCGGGAGGGCCTAGAAGGAGGAGTGAGTTAGACCAAGTCATCGGATCCGGAGCTGCAATTGCGAGATCTGCGCGCCTTGGATCTTCAGTAATGACTGAGTACTGACATTGGCCATCAATATTATATCTACTCATCCAGATAGATCATAATAATAACCTTATTAATTATTCCTTTCGTCCCAAAATAATTGTTCACTTTAGATTTTCAATTTAGTACGAATTGAAAAGGAAACTCGGGACCAGATAAATTATCTCAAACCAACCTACCACGAGTTATAAACTCAATACGAAATCAGAATATATGCTATAACCTAAGAGCCAAACAATATCAAGTGCTTAGATACATGCATGATACACACCTATGATGCATTTGTATCGTGTCAGGAGCGATGCCCCTAGAAAGGAACAAATTCGTTGAATTTTGCCTCCCTCGCAGATGACTGGTCACACAATATGAACTAATAATAATAAATGTAATAAAAATAAAAAAATTTATAAAACCACCCGGCATAAGAGCTACCGACTGAATCCGTCTTTAGAAATGAAAAGTAAAATCATTGATATGGTACGGAGAGAAAATTCCACCCAACAGCTTGCAACAACCTCATAAATTGTCAAACTAGCCATATTAAACTACATCAAAAGCTCCACAAGAAAATGTCCATTACTTTGATGATTTGATCACCTTTTTTTTTAACCTTTATCTGGACATCACTGAAAGCCAACCAACCTTCAGTCAGATATAATATCCTGATTCAGCTGATAAACTATATTTCTCATAGGGATTTTCAAGTTCCCTTTTTTGGAAATAATTTGATCTTACCTTATCACTTCTAAGTCCCCCCTTTCATTTGATCATCCGATTTTCAGAGTCCCGGAATGGAGTTCTTCAAGCGAGCTAAATCAGTTAGGCTGAAGAGCCATCACGACAAGTTCTTGTTAGCCGATTCCGATGAAGAAACCGTGACCCAAGACCGTTCCGGCACATCCAAGCATGCCAAGTGGACGGTCGAGTTCGTGGAAGGAGTTGAAAATGTGGTCCGATTGAAAAGCTGCTACGGCAAATACCTAACAGCTTCGGATGAGCATTTCCTTTTAGGGGTAACAGGGGAAAAGGTGATTCAAAGTCTGCCCAGAAAATTGGATTCCAAGGTTGAATGGGAACCCATCAGGGAAGGAGTTAAAGTGAAACTCAGAACCAGATATGGGAATTTTTTGCGAGCAAATGGTGGCCTACCGCCATGGCGAAATTCAATCACCCATGATATTCCTCATAGACATCAAGATTGGATTTTGTGGGAAATTGATGTTGTTGAGATTCGCCCTGAAACCCCCAAAAAAGTCGAGCGATCTGAATCGTTAGATGATGATTTAAGCAATTTTCATCTCAGAACCCCTTCTCAACAAGAGGTTTTCTTTTTTTTTTTTTTTGTGGTTTGGAATCTTTGTGTGTGCATTTCTTACATGTTTGTTGGATTAGATTTCCTAAAATATGGGATTCTTTTTTTTTTTTGGGTTGAATTTTGCAGACTCTTGAATCGTTTGGTGGTTCGCCGATGAAATACGAAGGCAGGATGATATATTATCATGTTGCGGATGATGATGGAAATGTCAATGATGCAGTTGAAGGGCAGTCATTTAACTTCAAAGGGCACAATGTGGAGGAATTGACTCGAAAGTTAGAGGAAGAAACAGAACTTCAGAGTATCACTGTTTGTTCAAAGAACAAAATCAATGGAAAGCTTTATCCTCTCCGGTTAGGCCTTCCTCCCAACAATGCAACTATGCACGTTGTCGTTGTTCCTTCAACCTGCAAAGGTTAGGTTCTAACTCAAATCCCTATCCTTTTCTTTCTGTTGCATTAACTGTTGTTATCTCTGTCTAGTCTCAATCAAACACGATTGGCGATATTCGCTTAAATTCAATCACCTAGTTTGGTGAAGGCTTAGTATATCTGGTGTTTGTATAGCTATCTAGGTTAGATTATGTTCTATACCAGGTTTTCTCATTAAATACATACATGATAGAGAAATATTTTGCACACTTGATGTCTAAGCTAAAAATTTTATCTTTAGCCTAAAATATGCCCTGCCTTCAAAAGCAACATAATCCTCCAAGCAGTTTGTTAGGCTTCCCAACCAGAAAGATTTGGAGGAACTTTTGCTCCTAACCATTTCCTTTGATTGAATCAGTGCTGCTCATTAGGAAGTTCACTGAGAAGTGTTAGATATACCAGTTCACTAATGTACTCCCTCCGTCCCGAAATTATTGTCCAGTTTGGATTTTCAGTTATAGTACAAATTGAACTAAAAATGAAAATCCAAACTGGACCATAATTTTAGGGACATAGGGAGTAGATAACTGTTTCACTTGATCTATGCTGTTCATTAGTGCTTGGTTAGGATGTTTTATTTTGTACTGATTGCAATTTTCTTTTCTCTTGTTAGTGGAGTTCTCATGACCAAGGAAAAACATGTTCCAACCGATTTCCATGTTGAAATAGAAATGGTGATGATCACGCCGACCCGGTGCAACCGAAATTCTGGTGAAATTGCTGAGAGCTCCATTGGTTATAGAAGATCAACGCAGTTCTGTTCTGTTGTAATCATTTCTTGGATTGGTTTTTGCAGTAGTCTCTGCGATGATAACTTTAGGTTTTGTGAATCCTGTTTTCTTAACGTTGAAGAATAACATTGATGATGATGATCATGTTTCAGCATCTTATCAACAGATGCAAGAAGATGTACTAGAAAACTGAACTCTGAACTTGATTGTGGAAACAAAAAAGGATTAAAAAACGAGTGCAAAAGGGCGCTTGAGATTGAAATTTTTAGACACTTTGGTCTTGACTGCTAGTTTAAACAACATACAGTAAGCATTTCTGAGACACCTTGTGTCTTCTATTCATAGTGAAATCATGGCCGTTACCAAATGATTGTTTTGCTTTGATGTTGATTTTAAAGCCTTTTGTCTTGCATTGAAGTCTCTTCGTCCCAAAATAAAAACCCATTTATATTTGTTAGTACTATATTTTATGGCTAACAAAAATGATTCTTATTTTGAGATGAAGGAAAGAGAATGGAATTATTTACAACTAATCCTTTTACATTTTTGTGAAATAATGTCAAAATTAGGACAATGCTGATTATAACTTGAGAAAACTCAAGGATTTATTTGTAATTGTCGTACCACAAAATTTGAGCAAATCGGACAAGTGAGTGAGAGAGTTAAGGATACGTCAATAGTAAGAACAAATTTCAATAGAATAGTGAAGGGGAAAAAGGTCGAACAGCACTCTCTAACGTGCCCAGAATCAATAGAAAGAAATTCCCACCGTACAGACTTTCCAATTGAGCCATGAGCTTCACTTTCCCGCGTTTCGTTCATTCCCCAAGTCTCCTCCGTCGAACGTTCAACATTAACCAGAAGCCAAGTTATCTCCTTTTCATGTCCAAGAAGAGAAAGTTTTGTGCGGTAACGGTCTCATTATCAAAGGTACAATATACGCATATCCTACTTGTTTACTACTTTGTTTATGGTCCTTTGCTTTGGTTTGTCAATTTTTTATGAATGTTTGTGCCCTTTTCTTGCTTTTGCATTCTGGGATAGTAGTCAGGTGTTGAAGAGTTAATGGTGGTAGTGGGTGCTGGAGCTGCCGGAATGTATGGAGCAATCAGAGCAAAAACTCTGGCACCCAACCTTCGAGTAGTTGTCATCGAGAAGGGAAAACCTTTATCCAAGGTTGGGACTTTATCTTGATTTAGTCATTCCTTATTCATCACTTTTATACGCTCTATGGAAATGCAATAATTAAATTCTTAAAAAAGAGTAATCGTCTTGACAGGTTAAGATTTCTGGAGGTGGTCGCTGCAATGTGACCAACGGGCATTGTGCTGACAATCTGGTGAGAATTTATTCCATCTGATGTGCGTTTTGGCTCTTGTATTGCGTTTTTTTTTACAATGTCCTTTAAACAGAAGCATGTTAGGTCTCTCAGATGTGCGAATTGGTTCTTGTGATTATGTCTTTCGGCATTGTACTTGGAAGAAGGCATGCCATTTGTAGGTCATTTAGTCTGTAACCTCCGGTGTGACTACTTGATAACTTTAGCTTTTTGCACCTTAATGATAATGTTGCTGAACTTGTTAAATGTGAAACCTTCAATTGATGATTGTGTCATCTGTGTGAGGATAGTTTCAGATTCTGTTCAACACTATACTTTTTCTAGTTGATCGAAGAAAACATAAATGTTGTTATATAAATAGTAGCCCCTGGGCTACTTTGTGTTTGTCTGTCGGTACCACACTGGTTTTCTGATTATTCCAGTGATTTAGAATTCAGTAATGCCCTGCTTTGATTTTGTATTAGTTAGACTAATGATGCTAACGCAATGCATAGTGCCACAGGTATTGGCAGAACAATACCCCAGGGGACACAAGGAACTGCGAGGCTCATTCTTCAATATGCATAGCCCAACCGATACTATGACATGGTTTTCTGATCACGGGGTAGAGTTGAAGGTAACCACATGATCTGTCCATGCAGCTTCCCTTTTATGTATCTAAATGTCATGTTGAGTTAGTCTCTTAACCTTAAGCATTCCATTCTGTCTTAGACTGAAGATGATGGGAGGGTTTTCCCAGTCAGTGATTCTTCATCTTCTGTGATTGACTGCCTAATGTCCGAAGCCAAGAAGAGAGGAGGTAGGTAAATAACCTTTGCAAGTTCTTCTATGAGATACTTACATGATTTCATCTTAACTATAGGTAGCTTTGAGAGGAAATACTGTAATTGGCTGTTTGATGACCTTTTTACTTAATTGTTCTGGGTTTCTCTCTGAGTACATCTTTGAAATGCCAAATTGTTATTATCTGGTCATAGCTTTTACTGGATGCAAATTGTGTCAAATTGGGAAAGGTTTGCTCTGACGTGGAATTTCAATTCTGCTCCATTTCATACACATTGCTGTCCTGCTTTTTCTTGATTTCTAGTTGTGACTTTCCTATTCTTGCATGCATCTCTTCGAGCAATCTAGTAACGGGTGTCTGGATGACAGTCGCCCCTTGGATTGTTGAGCAAAGTTCCTTTGCTGTGATGTCATATCTTACTTAACAGATTACAGACCTCCACTTTAAAGCTCTCGGCTAATCTGTTGACCCGTGATGAATGTCTTTGCATATTTCCCTTTTAATGGTAGATATATCTGGTAGATCTAGCTCACTTAATACTGAAAACCTTGGACTATTCCTTTACCCCATTATTCAACTGGCTCTACTTACAGAAGATCGTAGCCGTCTTCATTTCGTAATATTAATATAGTTATAAACTTAGTCCATATTATGGGAAGGATTTCGGTTATTAATTCCTAGATATTGTTAAGTTGTACGTAGTGCTATTTAATGAGATTGAGATTTTTGTTGTGTACTTGAGGGATATAATTTTTTACAATTGAGTATAAGCCTTGGCTTGCTTGCTTAATGTTTTCTTTCTTTTGGTATCACATTTCTCTCTCACATGATCAAGCAAGTTGTACTTGTATCTGCTAACACCTTCTGCTGATTTACAAATATGTAAATCAGTACTATTGAAGACAGGGTATACTGTTACGAGTGCTTCTGTTTCTGTTGGTGGGAAATTCACTATGAAGGTGGAGAAACGTACAGCGGGTCTTGTGGAGTATTTGGAGGCTGATTATCTCCTAATTGCGAGTGGAAGCAGCCGTCAGGTCCTCTTCTGTTGCTAATTCAATGGTATCATTCCTGACGTTCTCTTTTGACCGGTATCTGTCGTGTTCCAGGGTTACAGTCTTGCAGCTCAGCTCGGTCATTCTATTGTGGATCCTGTACCAAGCTTGTTTACTTTCAAGATAGGTGATACTCAGTTAACTGAGCTGTCTGGGGTATTTATCTCTCTCATCCTTGTGTTGTACTTCTTCTCCCTTCCTGTTATTACAACTTCTTGTCAGATATTACCAGTGAGTGGACTAAAATTTCCTTACTTTTGTTTTTAACTGAAAGCAAAGTTGACAAACTTCAGCATTTTCCTGAAATGCTGCACTGACTTTTGTTGAAACTATGATTATAATCAATTTTTTTGGATCTAGATTATAAACAACTGAATATGGAAAATTATTTCATTATAAACAACTGAATATGGAAAATTATTTCAATGGGCCTTGACATGTACTTTTGTAAGCAGTCATTAATTAACTTCTTATAACTCTTGCCCTGTGACTTGAGGTCAATGGTTTAACTCGTGGAAACTGCCGTCCATACATACATGGCAAAATTTTCCATGTTAATTCTTAGTAGTTTTACCTTTCCTAGGGCTCCTCACATCAGAAGCTTACACACACTTGGTGCCCATTTCGAATCAGCTCACAGCATATCTTAAAATTTGTTAAGAAACTGTTTTTATCCCATCAATTTGTAGTTTTCCTCCTCCCCTTAATGATTTTGTTCTCCCATTCTTCTTGCTCAGGTAGCATTTACCAAAGTAAAAGCAAAGTTAAAGTTAGAAGCTAGCAAGAATAACATACGACAGCTTACACAGGCAAGCTCTGCATGTCAAACTTAGTTGTAAATTTGAATGTACGAATAAGACATCAATATGGTGACCTTTTGTAGGTTGGACCAATGCTAATTACTCACTGGGGGCTCAGTGGGCCAGTGGTTCTAAAGTTATCTGCATGGGGAGCTCGTGATCTTTGTGATTCGGATTATACAGGTGAGAACACTTTAGTTTGTATTACTTGTCTTCTCACCCATATTCATATTCTTGTACTATTTTGTATTTTCCAGGGACACTTCTAGTGGATTTTGCTCCTGATCTTCATCTGGAAGATGTAAAATCTGCTCTCAGTCGACACAAGAATCAATTTGCCGTAATAATCCTTTTCAACATTCACTCATATATTGCACACATTGCCCTTTATGTCCTTCATCTTGTTGTCATCTCATTGCGTGACGTGAGCTTCTTTTGTTTCATAATGAACTGCTGCTTTACTTTATCTAGTTCTGATAGTATCAAGTTACATTTCGCAACCAAAAGTCTTATTTTCATCATGTCAACTTCTCCCAAACTCTTTTTTTTTTTTTTTTGCGTATGCAGTTTCAGGCGAAGTCCCATTCCCGCTACTTTTGCAGCTTTGCTAAAATGCAAATTACCTGAAATTTGACATGTTACTTTATCTTCATCTTTTTTTTCTTCTTTCAGAAGCAAAAGATATCAAATACCTTTCCTTCTGAATTTGGTTTAACAAAGAGATTCTGGAAATATATTATTGACCGCGAGGTAAAGTGATTTGTGACTATTGAAATATAGTTTTTCTGGGTTTCATCCTAGTAGCGAATATAGTAGCGTACTAATGTTTACTGTGATTTTCTTCTATGTCATGTGATACAGGGTGTAATTCCAGATCTTCTCTGGGCATCAGTTTCTAGCAGCTCATTAGCATCAGTCGCTTCTCTTCTAAAACAATGCTCTTTTAAGGTGACGGGAAAGGTACTATTCTGTCCTTTACCCTTTAGGCTCATTCATCTTCAAGATGTGAAAGTAATACTTCTGTTTGTGTTTGACAAAGGGCCAATTTAAGGATGAATTTGTCACGGCTGGTGGGGTTCCCTTGTCTGAGGTGGCCTTTCTATTACTTCCACCTCCATGTCTGTGTTTCAATGTGTTGTATGTCTATGAAACTTTTTTCTGGCTCATCTAATCTGGTCATTTCTTACAGATTCACATGAAAACGATGGAAAGCAGAATCCAGGCACGTCTATTCTTTGCTGGAGAGGTACATTAAAATGTGTGATTGGGTACAATTTCTGAAGTTTAACCGGAGAAGTCTCCTCTCTGTTAATTTTGTAACACATGGAATTGGAATCTTTATGTAGGTGCTGAATGTTGATGGAGTAACTGGGGGTTTTAATTTCCAGGTACTAGAACAGTACTTTTGGACAATATTTGCGTGCTTCAGATTCTGATGCACGTTCTCCAATTTAATTTCAAAAGATAGATTTTTCAGAAGGCTTGGTGTTCGTGCACCAGATAACACACTCGAGTCGAGAAATTTCAGTGTCATTTGAAAGAAGTTGCTTGCTGAGAATTAATTTTGTTTTCATAATTTTGTCCAGAATGCCTGGTCAGGGGGGTACATAGCAGGAACTACTGTAGGTAGCCTAACCAACAGCCATAGTCCAGCCAAAGAGAAGGTAGCACCATAGAAAAGCATGGCCCACTTGAATGGTCCTAACAAAATTAATTCAGGATTGCACCATCTGGTATGGTACTATTTCTTGATGGTGCCTGGAGGTATTTCATCAGTTGACACTGGTCTTTACTCGACATGGTTAAGCACTTCATTGAATCTCCAGGTTGTCATCAGGTGTTATCGATCTTGTTGGGGACTCCAAGTTATCATGGACCATGCGTATATTAAGTGCGATGTGAGATGTGAGATGTCCAATGAAGAAGGGACAAACGTCCAGTTTTTGCAGAGCAGCAGAATCCAGTTTGATCAGCAGTTAACAAAGATCAAATGAAGCTTCTTTTCGATGATATCTATCGATGCTGTTTCATCTAGCTGAGGAAGTCAACTTCGGTTTGTTACAGGAGGGTTCCTTGACCTCTCCAAAACAGGTCGAATCATTTAGAAATCCATCGTGCGTATGGAAGCTGGATCATTGCTACTGAATTTGGTTGTGGCGTGCATTCGCATTGACTAGGCATAACTCCTCTCCTTTCTCCCGTTTCCTCTCCGCAAGGATATTTTCAGTGCAGGTATCTGTCAAATTTTGTATACCAATTATGTCAACATAGTAGTATTATCAAGATTAGAACCGATGTTGAAAGTGTACTCTATCCATCACAGGAAAATAATTTAATTTGTCGTAATCTAATTTGTTGTATTATTAGGAGATTATGTTTATGGCACGGAGGGAGTACTATTTTGTGGTAACATTATGTCATAGTGTCTCATCACTCATCATGTTAAGGAGAAAAGAAGGACAGAAAGAAACGGATTTGAAGCATTATGTCATTATTATCAAAAGCGAAGTGGTGGATGAGTGTATTTTTGTTGAGCTTTCCTTTTTCGGTGCAATCCAGCGATCTGACCAATTCTTCATGTCGTTTATTTATTTATTTATTTTTGTAGAAAAGAAAGGAAATTTAGCATGATAAACTAACTACTACCAGGTCGGATTGGTTGAAATCTGGCAAAGGTATGGCAGTAGGAAATACAGAACTCTTGAACTCCAAATGGATTGTGTGGAAGCCGTATACGTAATACGCTTATGCTGAACCACGACGATACACCTCAAGTCTCAACTTCAAATATCAACATCTTTTTGCACATTTATAAAAGAGATGCTGCTTGATACAAAATGCCATTTTGGGATACAATTATAACCTATTTTGACCTGTTCTCAAAACAAAAATCAATTTGTTTGAACAAAATTAATTACATAAAGTATATGATTTTTTTGGGGACGAGACCAAATATTACTCCTATCTACAAGTTGTCCAAGATCACCATCATCCATAAATGTTGGTGAATAGTAACGGATGACGATGCCAAGCCCAATCAGTGAATATGCATCACCTTAGTTGGTGTTCTTGGAGAGACACATTAGTTTGCGATAATGATTTTTTTTTTTTGCCATGAAATATTAAAAATGCGATACAGGCGGAACTTCAATCTCTTTGTAAAGGTATGATGTAAACCCCTCGTACCTAATTCAAAAGGAAAAATATTTCTTATGTCATTCTCCCTGCAGTACTTATTATAAGATATTCTGATTTTGTCTTAAATTTTTATTTAAGATATCTTTTTAATTGAAATAAAAATTTTAAAAATATTTTATAATAATTAGAAGAATAAAACGAATACGAAAATATATTTTTAAGGTTTTTTTTTCAATTAAAAAGACTTCTTAGATTAAACCTATAATGAAATTAAAATAACTTATAATAAGCACTAGAAAAAATATTATAAATATATCGTAATTCCTTCTACTTATTACACGATATGAATGCATATTAAATTAATTTTCTATGTCTTATAAATAGAATCTGAGGTAGTAATTTAAGCATAGTCCAAACTCCAAACTCCGATGCGAATCAACCTTGAAGAAGAAGAATCAAATATTACTGTTTGGTGAAAGGGATATCCCTAACTAATCGCTATATTGGACCTTTTTTTTTTTTTTTGATGATCATCACTATATTGGACTTCATTAGCATACTAATTAGCAACCAAAGAAGACCAGGAAATCATTTGACCAACTTCGATTCGTCAAGTATTTATTTTTAATTTATAACCAACTCGCTGGAATAGTTGGTCGTCACAATGGCGAAATTGTTTTAATGTAGATTTAATGTCATTGTTTGATAGTCATGATGAAAAAGCTACAGTATGAAATTGAACATCATTGTTTAGTAGTAATCATGAAAAGGCGGAGAGGGTTATTTTTAATTATTAATAGTTCCACTTTCCTCAAAACTGTTGTATTTTTCCGTTTCATACAGTACAGTAACCACTATTTACTGTGCTGACTTAAAAAATTATAGACATATAGATGAGTTTTCTTAGCAGCATTGATAAAATCCACCAACAGAGTTTGTATTAGTATTTATTTCTTTTCATTACATGAAGAAAATAGTAATCACCAACGATGAAAGATATACTCCCTCCGTCCCATAATTATTGTCCACTTTGCCCAAAAAATTTTGTCCCAAAATTATTGTCCAATTTGACTTTTTATAGATCAAGTTACACATTTGTCCTTAGTAAAAAACATTATCCATAAAATCTTAGTGGTTAAACAATTATTTATGTAGGGGTATATCCGGTTGTTTAAGGTAAAATATAGTTAAGTTTGACTAAAAATAAAATCTTTCATTTTAGTAAAAGTGGACAATAATTATGGGACGGAGGGAGTATATCTTTTTTTTTTTTTTTTTTGAAAATGAAAGATATATGTATCTACATATGTGAATTTTAAAAATACTGTTCTGTTTAAATTTTCACATTTAATATAATTTATATTAAAATAGAATATTTATATATTTTTCAAACAACAAGAAATTTTTTTTTTTTGACATATTTACATTCCGCAAGAATAATTAATCCCCTCGCTGAATTGTACGCACCTCAATGATCACGCAAAAAGGCACGGAAAAAAAAAAGGACACCTGACCTTTCATTACAGTGGTTCGAACACGGGACCCCATATCGTTTCCTTATCCTCATAAAGTTTAGGCTTTTAGCCCACCCTTACGCCATAATAATCCAAAAAATCCCCACATCTTTCCTTTCCACGTCTCTTCAACTCTCTTAAAAGAAACCCACAAAGTCCAAATCCAGATCAATGTATATTCAAAAGAACCCAAAAAAGCTATTCTTCAATATTCCGAATCCACACAAAAATACATATAACTAACTAAAAATAAAATTCAATCCAATCCAGATATTATTACTACTTAAAACTAAAATACAACCAAAATTAAATCCCCACTTGATATTAATTTAATAATAAAAAAATTATTTCAAAAAAAATACACCACCACGTAATGATACCAACCCTTCGTCTACTACCACTTATATAAACAAAAAAAATTTGTAGTAATGGCGGTCGGTCCATGCTTCATTTTTGTCACTCCGTTTTCCCGCCGGTGAATCTCGTGAGTCGTGCAAACTTTTCTATTCTGTAAGTAACTGATAAACTGGATTTCCTCCTCCCTCCGTTGGACAACTGGCGGCTGGAGAGTGGAGGTAGCAAAACGTCGGCGTTCTCTTGCTATTTAGCTCTGTTGGAAGGACTGGATAAATAAAATTACCGCTCTTGGCGGTGCTAATTTTGGAATTACGTTTGTGTTTTTTCCTATTTTTTTTTTTAACCTCTACGCAATATATACTTCTTATATAACTGTATCTATGTGTGTATATGTTGTTTATATTTTGTGTGTATGTATAGGCTTTTGAACGAAAAGTGAACTCATATCGGGAGACTGGTTGTTTAGAGAGGAGGAGAACGGTGTAGCCACCGCATTTCAGAAATTTCCGTCACCGGAGAAAAACAGCTAGTTTAGAGAGAGAGAGAATTAGAGAGGAGGGAGATATGAAGGAGGAGGATGGTGAATTGGGGAAGAAGATTACGATTGGGGTGTGTGTTATGGAAAAGAAGGTGAAATGCGGCTCCGAGGTTCTGTAGTCTTTTTACTTCTTTTTTTTTTCGGATTCGTCTTTTCAACATCAAACGAATATACTCTTTCCTTCTTTTCTTCTGCTTTTTTCTTTTTTCTTTTTTTTTTCTAATCAAATGATGATTATTGTTTGTTTTATTACGCTTTGACAGTGACTTGATCTTGATGTAAGCAAAATTATTAATCGGTTCATTTTTCTTATATTTTTTTTTTTGGTTGTTTCTGTTTCAGGTGTTTTCCGCGCCGATGCTTCAAATTTTGGATAGGTTGCAGGCATTCGGAGAATTCGAGGTATTTTGTTCTGCATTTTGTGACGTAGGATGATTTTTGTCAAATTAATTGAGCTTGTGAGCTACTTCTTGTTCTTCATGTTTAAATTGCTGTTTATGAAGGTGTATTATTATTTTTTACTGGAATGAGGCTGATTCAGAGCGCATTATGCTTATATCTCTGCAGATTATTCATTTTGGGGATAAACTTATTCTGGAGGAACCTATAGAGAGGTGAACTCTCACTAGTTTTGGATATCCCTGCCGTTTTAACTGCAGCATAACATCTTCCATGTGAAATCTTTTTCTTTTCTTTTTTTTTTTTTCTTTTTTTCATGTGGTAAACCATGTAGATATTTCTTTTGGAACAATGCTTAGTCTGACACGTGCTACAATCTTTTATGGAAATTTTTCTGTTTTGATTTGTCTGTATATGGTTTCCTTTTAAGGTCGTCTCTGAAACCGATTTTTTCTCCCCCCCTTTGCTTGAATTGCAGCTGGCCGATATGTGATTGCTTGATTGCTTTCTACTCCACCGGTTACCCTTTGGAAAAAGCTGAAGCATATGCAGCATTGAGAAAGTATGTACTGTTGTATATCTTGTGTCTTTTAATCTATAGTCCTGTGGCATATACATTTACATGATCTGTTGAGTTGCTTTTCAGGTTCCTCGTCTTATTTCACCTAATCGTTTTGAAAACAATGTCCTCCCCATACATCACTGGATTGATGTGAAAGAAATAACAAGTTTAGCTCTTTACGTATGAAGTATGTCATTATATTGATCATAAATGCTATATCCCTTGATCTAAGTCAGTGTTTGTATTCCTTAATCATAAAATGAGTATTGTTATTGTCTGATTCCACTCCGTTGCAGTATAGCCGACATTTTCCCTGTACTGATCTTTGTAGTTGTTGCATTAGATATGTCTCATGGTAATCTGTCTGATATCTTTCCCCCGTTGCCATCCAGAGTCTGGACATTTGTTTTTCTATGTATTTCTAATACTTAGACACGTATTAATTAAAACAATGCTTCAATGCTGGGCATTTTCACATTTAGTGATTAGTAGGGTTTCTTCGCTAAATACCGAAGAACCCCTTTTCAAATATGCCTGCTATTCGAACAAGTGTGGGACATCTTGACTTGAAAAAGAAGCAAGTACATGGTCAAACTTAATCTTTTTCTTTTTGGCCGCATTTGTGGCATACTATTTCTCTTCCATTGCAGCAAGTGTTTTGGAGGGCAGTTAGCTTCATGACATATGACTTGGTCACCGGAAAATAGATAGCAGTAATGTTCTTGCCTTTAATTTTCTCCTTTCAACCGTCTAGACTATGAGGTCGGAAGTGATTATCAAACATATTGTCTCTTGACCAATCATGAAAATGTACCCAACCTTTAGTTCTTCAGGAACCCAGGGATTTGCATGAATATGTGACTAAATGTAACTAAATGTCTGTACACCTCACTTTTGTCTGGAGAGGAATCAATATATATATATATATGTATGTATATATATTATTTATTTTTGTTATTATTACTATTTTTGGCGGTTGCTTTATGTCCATTTATGTTAGTTCTTTTGACAGAAATGCCTTCAAACTTCAGACACTCTCTAGTGGCTTTTCTGTTGTTCAAAGGTGTGAAATATATGCTCATAATATTCACTGGTTGTCCTTTCAGGCCTTTCCTCATAAATGAATTGGAAGCTCAACATCTTCTTCACGATAGAAGGAAAGTATATGAGGTCTGCACCTTACATATGCACACTCTATATTTCTTGAAGCTGAAAGATTACTTACTATTTTATATTTTCTACTGAGTGGTAATTTCTTTGTTGTTTGCTATGATCAAATGAAGTATATACTAGTTAGAATTTCAGATTGGAACTTGGGAATCATATTTATTCCCTAGTTTTTGTGACTGATACTGGAGACATAATATATAGAGCTGCTTCTATGTGTCAGATGAGTTTTTCTGGGGATGTAGATATTCAATAGCATTTCCTGCCTGATTAAGCTCTGCTGTCATTATTCAATTCTCAACTCATGACGATGCTTTTTATTCCTAGAATATATGGGAAATTCTTCTGAATTTGAGGTGTATGGGTTGTATGTCTCTGTGTGAATATGAACTTAGATTATTGCTTATATATGTTAATATTTTGATGGTTAAGATTACCCGGTTTGCTTTCTGGAAGTTTTGTTCTTGGTATTTAGAACTTGATTAATTTGTTTTTTTATCATGTCTACTACATTAAAAACTCTGCTGTCTCAAATACAGATAGTATCTCCCCCGTGCCTTCTTTCTTTGCTGAATATTTATGTCCTACCTTCTACTGCAGTTAACTTGAAGTTTCTCTAGCATGAAATGTGGTGTTAATATCTCTTTTTGACTGCTTTTTGTGCAACTTCTGTTGCTGATTAATTTCAGTGTCTTGAGAGGTATGGGATTCCAGTTCCAAGGTATGCCCTTGTTAATAGAGAAAGTCCCTATCAAGAGTTGGATTATTTTGTGGAGGAAGAAGACTTTGTTGAAGTTCGTGGTGATCGTTTCTGGAAGCCATTTGTGGAGAAACCCGTGGATGGTAAGTGTGAAAATAGTATGTCTGCTGTTGCAATTTCCAATCATTAATAGTTGCGATGTCATTATCCATTCAGTAACTTCTATTATTGGATTTACATCAATGAGGGTTATTTCTATTATTTAAAAATTTTCTTTTCGTGATGCCCACATGCTGAGATTTTTGGCCTTCAAAATTTTCTTCTCAAGTTTGAAACATAAAAATGATGTTTGGGAGAGAGGGAGGGGGGGTTGCCAATGCTTCTTTCTTTGTGCATTGTTCAAAATGTCCCTTGAAACCTTCATTACTTAAATTGAATGGGTTCTGATGTGTTGCCTTTTTAATGTACAATTGTTGGAAAAATAAAGGGAAATATCACCACATTCATGTTTAGAATTATGTTTTGTAAGAATGGAAATTGTTAGTAATGTATTCTGTCCCATGCTTTCCAAAATTGTCTATTTGACATTCTCACTTCTTCGTGATCTTTTGGGGAAAAAAAAACATCGTAATGGTCAGTCATTACAATTGAAAAGTTGCAGTTCTGCATCTTTTTCCCCTTTCGCGTTCGATGTAGAATGATCAAGTTTGTACAATTAAGAACCAGATCCATGCTATCCTTAAAAATTAATACTGGAACGTCGGCGAGATATTTTTATCATGCATAAAAATCTCAAAATTAAAAAATGATCCCTTTTTAGCATTTAAAGATGCTTGTGTTACTCCGTGGTCTTCCTAAATGATGAACTTCCACATTTTGTTTTTATTGTTTCTGCAGGTGATAACCATAGTATAATGATATACTACCCAAGTTCTGCAGGTGGAGGGATGAAGGAGTTGTTCAGGAAGGTAATACTGTCGTTGGATGCTGGAGTTTTGTGATCCTTATTCTAGTTTACCTTCTTAAAAGTCTTAAGTGTGTTTTGATCTCTTGTTGAAATGTTACTTCATAAATACATTATCATGTTAAAACCACTAGAAGGTTATCTTTTATGATGCATCAAACTGGTTGTTTTCTTATTGGAAAGGAAGTCATGCTTATTTTGATAATTGATGTTTTGAGTTAGTATGGAGACTTACACTTGTCAAGATTTGGCTCTGTTATACTCGCTTTGCCAATATTCGTTCTCCTTGATATGCAAAAAGTGGGTAAAATTTGAGACTTGCTTTTGTTCTGTAGAATCTAGGAACAGTTTTTTCTTTAATTATGAATTATTATTTTTATTTTTAAGTACTTTCTATATTGTTGTTTTTGCAATTAGATTTCCCTTTGCGTGCTATTTAGTTCTGAGCCATTTTGAGTAATTAATGTTCCTCACCCTGCTAGGGTGTCATAATTTAATCCCTACTATAAAAGCATAATTGCATCATGTATTTCCAGATGTATTACATGCTGAATAAGCAAGTAAGAATCTTGGAGATGGGGTCCAATTGTACTGCTTGATTGTGGCTTTACTGATTCGCCCCAGTTAGTGACTTATGTCGATGATGATTGAAAGCTGGAAAATGTTATTTAGTATCGACTATTTTCTTTTAAAAATCTAAATAGCCAGGATTGACATTCTCTGTTTTCTCTTAGGTTGGTAACCGTTCAAGTGAGTTTCATCCAGAGGTTAGAAGAGTAAGACGTGAAGGTTCTTATATATATGAAGAATTCATGCCAACTGGAGGAACAGATGTAAAGGTATGTCCTTGCTTAGATTGTTTTGGATTAATGTATGATCTTTGTTTGGTGATTACAGAGTATAATGTCATGCACAATGTCGATTTACTATAGAAAGTGACAAGGAGGGTAGCATTGAACAGCGAACATTTGGGCCTCCCCTAGATTTATAGTAGTACTTATTAGTACTGCATATTGGCACAAATTGATTGATTTTTGAGATGTTTCTTTAACAATGGTATCACAAGATCATATTTTTGGTGTTGGCCCCTCTTATTTCGGCAGAGTTATTTTATATTCACATTTGAATCGTGAAATGTCATTGAACTTGATGTTTTTACTCACAGGTCTACACAGTGGGTCCTGAGTATGCACATGCAGAAGCAAGGAAATCTCCTGTTGTTGATGGTGTTGTTATGAGAAATCCTGACGGGAAAGAAGTAAGTTACGTGTGATGTAAAGATCTTGTACTGATGTGTGTCTTTTGTAGTAAGAGTAACGTGAAGAAGTATATGATGTAAATTGTGTTATTTATCATGTATGATAAAGTTGCCTATAAGAACCAGTGATCATATAATTTTGGGAGCAGGTAAAGAGTTTTTCGTTTAGTTGGAAAAGGTTATAAATCAAAGTATAAAACGGATATTAAATTAGGCAGTTTTGCATGTTGCATTTAGGGTTTTGGAACTTGCAAATTATCGCATATGTACTGTTAAAAATCTGCAATATTTGATATTAGCGATGGGACCACGAGTTAGGTGATAGAGTGAATTATTGCTTGTCTTGTATTTTAAACCATATGATGCAAACTCACACTTCTATGCCACTGTCTAATGGTGTATTTGCTATACAGGTTCTGTGGTACTCTTTTTTTTTTTTGTTATCTAAGAGAACAGTATTAGAGTCCTTGGGCTAGGTACTCTTTATATTGATATTTTAAAAAACTGCAGTGCTCATGAAGTTGAAGACTGATAATTCACTGTCATAGGTGTTGTATTGTGCCAATGTGACTAATTGCTAGGGTCTACCTTTAGACAGTGCATATCTTTGGAAACTGATGTATCTAGAGAATTGTGTTGCAGGTCAGATACCCTGTTTTACTCACCCCTGCTGAGAAACAAATGGCAAGAGATGTTTGTATTGCGTTTAGGCAAGCAGTAAGTCAGCAAATTACACACAGTTTGTTGAACTCCCTGGATGTCACCATATCATGGAGTCTCTTCTCTCATTTCTTGCTCCCTTCAAATCCAGGGCAACTTTAGCACCTAAGATAAAAGGAAAAAGAACGAATGGGAAATTGCGAAGAAAAGTTAACGGTTTCACTTGAACATGCACCAAGTTTACTGGCATCTTCTTCTGTTGATGTGGTGATACTTGTTTTGTTTATATTTTTCAGGTTTGTGGTTTTGATCTCTTGCGATGTGAAGGGCGTTCTTATGTATGTGATGTGAATGGATGGAGCTTTGTAAAAAATTCGCACAAGTAAAACCTCTGATTCCCGAGGCATTTATAGCTATTTCCTTGTGTTTGGCTTAGCCCACCTAAGCTTTATTTTACAAAAGATTGTGAGAGAATAATATTATTCTGTCCGCCTAAGCATAATTTTCCAAATGATGGTTTCTGTTCCTTTCTTTTCTATATTTCCTTGCTCATTAAGTTTCTAATTCAGGTACTATGATGATGCTGCTTGTGTGTTGAGAAAGATGTTTCTGGATGCAAAAGCCCCACACCTCTCAACAACAATTCCTCCTACTTTACCTTGGAAAGTGAATGAACCTGTTCAACCTTCTGAAGGACTTACACGCCAAGGAAGTGGAATCATTAGCAAATTTGGGGAATCTGAAGAGCTGCGTTGTGTTATTGCCGTGATTCGCCAGTCAGAACACCACCTTTTTTTTTTCCAATCTTTCCTCGTGGCTTCTTTTTCTTCAACATAACAACTGGTGTTTTTTGGACAGTGGGGATAGAACTCCAAAACAGAAGGTGAAATTGAAGGTTACTGAAGAGAAGCTGTTGAACTTGATGTTAAAGTACAATGGTGGAAGACCTAGATCAGAGGTTTATCTTCTAGGATTTTCAACCCTTCTTACTATTACATCAACAGCCTTTTGAAGAAGCTAAGTTTAATTGCCTTCCTTGGTCTACATTTCTTTCCAGACGAAGCTGAAAAGTGCTGTCCAACTACAGGACCTTTTAGATGCGACACGAATGTTAGTACCCCGTACAAGGTGTGTAGAATACATTTCTGCAGCAATTTGGGCATTTTCTAGCAATTTGTGATCTTTCTTCGTGCAGATTTTATTTCAATCTTCTTAATAACAAAATAAATGTATATATGTGAATTAAGAAGGAAAAAAAGCTCCATTCTTTTGTTTTACCGCTACCCTTACCTAAGTACAAATATGAACATTTGATCCTCCTTGTCTGTATTTATGTCTAACTTTACAGTTGGAGTCGTGAGTTAGTGCTGAATCGTTAGAGAAGATATGCTTAGTACATGCTTTGTTCTCAGACATTCTGTTGCTCCCCAGGCGAAACTTAAGATATAACCGAATCTCCAGTTGGAGAAAAAAAAAACGGATAACATATATATTTTTTATTTGCATGAAGTGACTTGTAGGAAATCATTAAATTTGTCTGATATGAGAACACTTGTTATTGATTACACCCTCGGCAATCGCTTCTGAATATCTTAGGTTTGCCTGAAGAATATATCATTTTGAAGGAAGTTCATTTCACCTTTGGGAAATGGGAACTGTTTCTAGTATGCTGTGTGTGATACTCACATGCTGAATTGCTAATCTATTCACCCATTGTCTGAAGTATTTGGGGGAGCAAAAATCATTCACATCGGCTCTTCTTAAAAACTAGCAACACTGTAGATTATGACCCTTAAATCCTGATGCTTGATGTAGGCAATATATCAAATCTATTTTCTGGGAAATCCTGATAGTTCAACAGTTATTTCATTACCCTACTTTATATCCGTTTCTGGGAAAAGATTGATACAAAGGTCCGTCAAGATTTTGCTGCTCGTATTGGTGTGATACCTTTGTATCATATTGTTTGACAGTTGCAAGAGTTGATCAGAATGTTTATGTTGTCTGAACGCATTTTCTGCTTTTTCGAACGTTGATAAATAAATTCTGCCTTTATACGCGAGTTTTACCCAAACTTACGTGATTTCAATTGTTAGACCTGGCCGGGAGAGTGACAGCGAAGCGGAAGACCTTGAGCATGCAGAAAAGCTTCGTCAAGTGAAAGCAGTTCTAGAGGAAGTTAGTGATTTCCTAATTTCATTTTCGGTTCTGGCTTTAAATTTATCAGTTCTACAATTGTGTAATAGTTATTTGCAGTTTCCCGTTTCTTGTTGCATCAAAATGTGATCATTCAAACGTGAATAGCATCACATTGGTTTTTGGATTACTTACCATTATGATAGACTGATATTTTATGCTTTTAGACTTATCATTGGATTTCAGTGTACATGCGTATGATCTCTTTCTTTTCTTAAAAAAAAAAGAGAGAGCGGGGTGCTTCCCTGTTGTCTTTCCTTTCTATGTTTGACAAAATGTTATTCTCTTCTTTGTTTAAGCACTTTCAGCTGTCTTGATTTTTTTTTTCTTTTGTGTTCTGGTATCCCCGAACTGTAAGCAGTCCTCCTGATGTTGGTTTTTTCATGGGAACCTGATTGTAGGAATAGTTAACTTTTCCTGAAATAAAAAACTAATAAATAGATAGTTTTTCAGTTTGTGCTGTAAGTTTCATGTATCCTCTTTGAAATAGGTCATATTTGCTAAATAAATTCCTCATTATTAGGGCGGACATTTCTCTGGAATTTATCGGAAGGTTCAATTGAAACCACTTAAATGGGTAAAAGTTGCAAAAGCAAATGGTGAAGGAGAAGAAGAACGTCCTGTTGAAGCTCTGATGGTTCTTAAGTACGGGGGTGTTCTCACTCACGCTGGCCGGAAGCAGGTAATAATAAAATTTTAATTTTGGGAATTATCATAAATTGCAACTTGTTATTTCTTTTTGAATGGCTGGTGAAATTTCTTTCTTTTTTTTTTTTTGAAAGGAAATTTCTCCTTTGAATTTCTCTGTTGGGATTGAGCTTCAATTATTATTATTATTCTTATTATTATTATTATTATTATTATTATTATTATTATTATTATTTTCTTAATTTTTTTTGACATTTTCCCGCTAATGTAATAGTTGAATTTCCTGGCAGGCTGAAGAATTGGGAAGATACTTTCGGAATAATATATATCCAGGTGGATACACTTCTGTTTACAGTTTTTACATTCAATGGCCGTCTTTCCTTCTCCATATTGCGGCACTGTTGTTTATCCATTAGTTCGTGTTTGTTCTCCAACAAATAAGGGGGTTCCTGGATATACCTGTTAAGTTTCACTTACACATGCGCACGCTCACACATGGGTTCTGTAGTATTAAATCACCTTATGCCAGATGATCTGTAGTAGTTTTATAATCCTTAGTTTGCTGCTAGCCTGATAATTGTTGTTCTTTGTATCAGGTGAAGGTACAGGCCTGCTTCGCCTCCATAGTACATATCGCCATGATCTGAAGATATATAGCTCAGATGAGGGGCGTGTACAGGTAAAATCTGATATATATGTCTTTTGATTATTATTTTCTCGTGCTCTGGATTTGCTTAATATAATTTTGCTTCCTCGTAGATCCCTTGTCTTAATCATAGAGAGGAGTCTACAAGTTTATGCCTCATTTTGTGTACCGAACTGATCTTATTGGAGTTGCATTTACTCGACTGTTATTTCCTTTACTGCTTATCTTATGCTTTTTGGACATTGCTATATTTCGCAGATGTCAGCTGCTGCATTTGCCAAAGGTCTCCTTGATTTGGAAGGACAATTGACACCAATTCTGGTTGGCAACCTTTACTTTTGAAGGTTTTATTTACATGTATTTATACTCATAAGTGCTGATTCGCTCTCTACCTTTTATTAAGGTTTCACTTGTCAGCAAGGACTCTTCCATGTTAGACGGCCTAGACAATGCCAGCATTGAGATGGAAGAAGCCAAGGTTTTCCTTCTTTATCCACATCTTTTGCTGTTTTCCTAGATTATTAGTTTTTCTTTTTCTTTTTTTTTTTTTCCTTTTTCTTTTGGCAAGTTTTAAGTAATTGAGAATATGAGATGATGAGGAAGTACCTAGCCTTGATGAGTCAATATTAATAGGAAGCTGGGGCTTTTGATTTCTGTTCTTGAGTATGAATTGAACACTGTTTGCCATTGGTTTGAATTGCCCTTTCCATTCCATATTGGTTCATATGCTACTAAACATACTTTTGCCCCTTACAATTCTACTGTTGGAGTGTTATGGTCAGATGGGCCAGAAACTGTATCCTTTGAAGGTTTTCCATCCTTTTCTGCAGATTGCAACTAGTAATTAAAGATTTACTGAAAGCATATGAACTTCTACAAGGTTTCTTGGACACCACCCACATAGACAAAACTTAGCCTTCTGGTAAAATATTGCAAGAAAATGCTTTGAAATATAGCGATAGGGTAGTTGGGATTACCGTTCTAAAGAAACTCATGTGGCGGTATTTGTTAATCTTGCAAGCTTAGCCATTACTTAATCTTCTCTCCATTTTCGACTGTCTTATCATTCTCTGCTGGTGAGAGAATTCATGGAAGTTTATGTTCAGCTTCAATTTTTGCTTCATAACTTAGAATATTTTGGTGGTTTCCCCTCGTGCTCAGGCTAGGTTACACGAAATCATTACTTCTGGTGTAAAGAATGTTCATGATAATGGATCATTGGAGAAGCTTTGGATGGTTGATGGTGCTGGACTTCCTTCAAATGCATCTGAACTCCTTCCGGAATTGGTATATGTCTTGCTATTCTCTTCAAATATAGTCTTAGGTGTTCCATCTTGCTACCATATGTATTTATTTATTTATTTTATCAGGTGAGGTTGACAAAGAAAGTCACTGAACAAGTGAGGCTACTTGCTATGGAAGAAGATGAAAAACTTGGAGAGTCAGGTTCATATGAAGTGATACCTCCTTATGATCAAGCTAGGGCACTTGGTAAGACAAATATAGATGCTGGTCGGATCGCTGCAGGGTTACCCTGTGGAAGTGAAGGATTTCTTCTCATGTATGCTCGTTGGAGGAAGCTCGAGAGGGATTTGTATAATGAACGAAAAGGGTAAGTTTCACACAACATAAACAATTAAAATTTTAATCCTTGTTTGCCTCTGGTAAAGTATGCATTTCCAGTATGATACTTGTTTGAAGGTTTTAAGGTTCACAGACTTGGTTTTGATCGATGCCATGGGTACCCAGCTTCATTAATATGATGTTTTGGTTGCAGGCGGTTTGATATAACACAAATTCCTGATGTTTATGACTCCAGCAAGTAAGTGATTTTTTTTCCCCATTTGGGATGTGTGTGTGTGTTGCTGTGTTTTCTTTCTGCAGCTGTATCATGTGCAGTTATCTAAAGTTCTTTCATGATCATGCATGAACTGGTTAACTGGACACGTTTTTCTTGTGTGGCAATACTGTATTTGGCTTGATAGCATACCTTATTTCTGTTGTGGGAAACAGTTATCTGCAATCTCTTCTGAGTGATCAAAGTGGAAAGAAGAGTTAACGTGAAAATTCATATGGATGGAAGAAGTGAGTTTCATGCGTTTCTCTATCAATATAAGTAGAAGAAACTGGAAAGATATTGACATCTACCCTCCCTATTTCTGGTAGGTGAATAGGGGGTTTTTGTTATGTTCTGTTTTAGTGAAAATCTCTCCTGAATATGTTTTATAAGAAGGGATATAGAATCAGAACTAGACCTAGAATGCCGCTGGTCCTTAAGGGTAGACTATGTTTGATCCGAACCGTTCGACATCTTTTTCTCCTCAGCTAGTGTGTTAAATTCCTTTTCCCCTTATATGCAACCATATAAGGGGCAGTGTCTTCTTCTTCTTTTTTTTTTTTTTTGTCCTTTTTTGGAAATCAAAAGTTCATTCTTGTCCAGAGATGATTAAGATTTTAATTTCCCTTTTTCTCATTTTTGCTCTTTTGACATGTGGTCTTCTCTCAAAAGGTATGACCTATTGCACAATGCGCATCTGAATCTTGAAGGGTTGGATGATCTCTTTAGAGTTGCCCAGGTTTGTAAATTTGACTCGTTCAACCAAGTTCTGTTTGCCCAGGTTCAAAAGTTCATTCTTGTCCAGAGATGATTAAGATTTTAATTTCCCTTTTTCTCATTTTAATTTCCGTATGCGTATTGGACTGTTTGGATGTTTTGTTCTTCTTAGAGTCTAACTTAAGTAAATATTGAGATCATGGTGGCTAGATTTGGTAGTGAAAGGTTTGCATTGACCTTGGTCTGCATTTTTGGAAACAAAAGTTGATTTTGCTGTTGCTGTAGGAAACATTAGTGCGTATTACTGGCGATCAGAGGACCATCTTTGGTTGGAGAAAAAGATGGTTATGCTGCTCATTATATAGAACATAGAAATTGTCGATACATGGTATATTCAAACAATCTTAGCAAAGAAAGGGAAAATGGACATAGCAGATATCTATCCGTCTCAATTTGTAAAATTTGGTTTATTGTCATCATTCCGTGGTTTGATCTTTACACTTTCTTCTGTCCTTTTTTTTTTCTTCCCGTTCTTGGTTACAGTTACTTGCAGATGGTGTTATACCTAATGAATATGGAATCAATCCAAAGCAGAAGCTGAAGATTGGATCAAAGGTAGATTCTTGATTTATGTTCCTCTTTATTTTGAAATTTCTAATTGTTCTTATTAGGGCGCCATTAATTGGCTTTCAGATTGCGCGCCGTCTGTTGGGGAAGATATTGATAGATATGAGAAATACTCGTGAGGAAGCAATCAGTGTAGCTGAATTAAAGAGCAGTCAAGAGCACCCAACACCTGTCAGTATTATGGGGAAGGAAGATGCTGATCGTCATCCAAAACCAAGCTTCAAGACTGAAGATTCTAGGAGAAATAGTTTCAATGGTGAAAAACCTATAAATCAAGAAGATGAAGATGATAAAGAGATAAAATACCGCTTAGATCCAAAGTATATCTCTCTCCTCTCCCCTTGCCGAAAGAATACCATTTTTGCATTAACTTGATCATTATTCTATTGGTAACGCTTCAACTTAGTGCCTGCTTGCTGCCATGATAAGCTAATGAGAATTTTGCACCGTCTCCTTTTATTTTTCCATAGCCACCTGCTCTATTGGGTAGTAATAATGTAGTCCTGATGCCATACTGAATAATTTTAAGGTGAGAGTTAACTTGTGGTTCATGTTTCTGCCTTCTTTGTTAGATACGCAAATGTAAGAACACCTGAACGCCATGTCAGAACGCGGCTTTACTTTACTTCGGTAAGCCAGTGTACCTTTCAATTTAATCAGATTTTATTTATATATTGTCTTCAGCATAATGTCAACAGTATATATAGTGTTAAATACATTTCTGTTAATAATTTAATTAGAATTTATTTGGAAATTTTCTACAGTGGATTTTTGTTTTATTTTAATTTTCTTTCTGGTTTGTCTGATTAGTATAATTTGCTCCACCAAAAGAATGCATGATGGTGGATACAATATAAGCTCTTCAAATCAGATTTGGGAAGTAACTAAAGTTTCTCTAGGAACGCTAGTATGTGATTTGAGATGTGAAATACACCTGCTTAATAATGTGTATTTCAAAAATCATTCCTTGAAATAATCTTGACACCTTGATGCCACCATCTGATTCCATTTCATAATTATGATTAAATGAACCGGTTCTTTAAGGAGCTGCAGGAAAAGTGCAGGAAAAAAAAAGAATTTATTGCCTTTTATAGGACTGACAATAGCTTGTGGATGATCTCCTCCACCTTTTGATAGGGGAGGGAGTTTGCAATTTGTTAGGAATTTCACCTCTTAAGCTCTTTGCAACTTTTCATTTACAGGAATCTCATATCCATTCTCTGATGAATGTTCTCCGTTATTGCAACTTGGATGAATCTCTTCAAGGGGAGGAGAGTCTTGTTAGTGATAATGCTTTGGACCGTCTTTTTAGGACCAAGGAACTTGACTATATGAGTTATATTGTGCTGAGGATGTTTGAGAATACTGAGGTAAGTTTTTTCTCTCATTTCCTTGAATATGCATGATGGAGACAACAATATTAGCTCTATAAATTAGATTTGTGAAGCATCTACAGTTTCTTTTTTGGGACTCCGTTTTGTCATTTGACATATGAAATAGAATCTTGAATCCTGCTGTCCCTACCTAATTAATGTTTTGACGTTAGCAGGTTTCTTTGGATGACCCAAAAAGGTATCGCATCGAGCTGACATTTAGTCGTGGTGCTGATTTATCCCCTTTGGAGGTATATCTCTATTCCTTTGAAAATATTGAATTTCAAAACAAGAGTCCTAAAAAGGCACAATCCCGTTTTCCTCTTTTTCTACAATGGAAAAGCAGAAAGGGAAGATCTTGATATAATAAGTAACAAATTGAAGAATTTTCATCAAAGTGCGAGGATTATTATATGTTGGTTTTGGGAACTAATCATTTATTCGAATCCTGCAGAAGAGTGATCCTGAGGCTGCAACCCTACGCCAAGAGCACACATTGCCGATAATGGGACCTGAGAGGCTTCAAGAAGTAGGATCATATTTGACCTTAGAGAAGATGGAGAAGATGTTTCGTCCCTTTGCTATGCCAGCAGAAGATTTTCCTCCACCGTCAACTCCCCAGGGATTTTCTGGGTACTTCTCCAAAAGTGCTGCAGTTTTGGAGCGTCTTGTGAATCTATGGCCTTTCAACAAGCATGGAGCTGCCAATGGAAAGTGAGTGGGTTGACAACTTGACATTGCTTTGAGACTGTTCGGCATAACATGAGGTGGTGAAAACTCGGGAGTTCTCGGTCTAAACTTTTAAGGTTGGTTATGGGAGAAAATTTTTGTAAAAGAATAGCGTATGATACAGCAGCAAAATAGAGGAATCTAACATTGTAGCTCTGTTTTAAGCTATATATTTTGATGCTAATAATATCTCATTGATTTTCATCCTCGTCGTTCCTTTCTATTTAGCTTGGGTTTTCATAATTGTTCCCCCTGGAAGGTTTGCTTTTCTTTCCACACGTCGAGTAGTTTGTAAACCAACTGTCCCGATTGTAAATGGCTGATCGAGTTTTACCTAAAGTTTATTATTATATCAAATATACGTGGGGTTTCAAAATCGATGCTATAGATGATTCCGTTTGTGTTCTCATTTTTTTTCCATCTATAATCTAAGTTATGTTTAAGTTATGGAAAACCACCTGGACATGAAGTTCATATGAGCGAATAGCGAGCGGCAATGACGCTTGCTCAAACTAATTGAAGCAAGAAAATCAAATACTCCCCCGTCCCTAATATTATCTTGTTATCAGGATATTAATTTGAGTGTTTACAAGTGGGAACATTAGCTTTATAGACATTGAGCTGAGTAACAAAAAAAATGTCATACAACCCAAAGTGCGCTGAGACACAACCCGCGGATTACAACTGGGCACATTATATTCCAAGGCCTGAATAAATAAATCATCATTTTGATAATTATATGTGGTGAGAGAGTGTTTGTTAAAGAAACAAATGTTTCGAGGATGAAATGAATAGTTGATGGAAATAATAATGCTTTGAAGCTTGAGAATTTTTGTAAGAAAATAGGGGATGTTTTAAAATTCCAAAACTCGTATCTTTACTTTCCTTTGATTCCAAAATTATCTTTTTGAAAGCCTTAAACCTCTGAAACTTTAATCAGTGTGAATTGAGGTCAAAATTAAGGTAACTGGATTGGTCTCACCATTTGCAATCTTTCTTTTCTTTTACGTCTAAATTGTTAATCTAACTTGGAAGAAGACTATTAACATCGCTTGAATGTTGAGAAAAATAGGAAAATGCAAGGATTAAAAAAAAAACACAAGCGCAAGAAAACTGTCATACTAACAATATCATCACAGTTATTCAATAGTAAAATACATCACCCCAAAATCCCAATCAACATTCAGGAAAATATAATTACGTAGCATTACACAATAAAGCCAAAAGATTTTTTCTTTTTCTCTTTTGGTGGGTGATGATGAATCAAGCAGCAAATTTGGGGGCTTCTCTGTGCTTCTGAATCTTCTTCTCCAGTTCATCTTTCTTAGCTCCGACCACCCTATCCACTTCTTTCCCTTGCTTCAGCAACAAGAATGTGGGCATTGCCTGCACCTTAAACTCCTGTGCCACGTCCTAATAATACCAGAAAAAAAAAAAACCAATTTCGGGTCAATTTTGATCCCACCCACAAAAATTAAATTGAGAGAAATTAATTAAAGCCCAACCCACCGAGAGCTCATCGACGTCGATCTTGATGAAATCGACGTCCGTGAATTTGGCGGCCATCTCGTTGACGGCCGGCTCCATGAACTTGCAGGGCCCACACCAAGTAGCGGCAAAATCAACCACCATCTATTGAGAGAATTCAACATCAATCATACGTTATCACAACAATAAAAGGTTAAGATCCACAAAGTATTGACCGAAAATAAAGCTAATTTTTCTGAAGCAGAAACGATGGAAGGGATTAAAAGAACGAACCAATTTGTTCAACTGCTTGGAGTTGTTGAAGTGGAGTTGCCATCGGTTGGTTGAATGGAAAGCAATCACGCGTGATGATCCCGAGGAGCCATCGCCGGCTGACTCGGAAGCTTCTGCAGGTCCGCCGAAAAAGCTTGACAAGATTCCACCCATTGAAAAGACCACGACGACGAAGAAGACGGCCGGAAAGATTCTTCCCAATCGGAATTCACGCGAGCAAACCAATATACTGACCTTATTAATATACAGAGTCCAAGGGATTTGACCGTAATGAAATATACTCCTATTGACACCACCGAAGATGGACCTTGTCTCAAACCCAAATAAAGGCCCAATCCATATTTCTATTTTGTTGTTTTCTGTTCGTGAGGGAAACTTAAATAAATCTTTGAGCAATAATACAGATAGTGAAAAAAAATAATGAAAATATATGACTGATGTGTCAATAGTAATTAGGGGTAAAAGAATAATTTTGGGGGAAAAGAAAAAATTTCAGCAGCATAGTGACAACAAAATAGGGAGTATACATCAGTCATATCTTATCACTATATTATTTCACTAAGAGTATCATTTTCCTAAATCTTTATCAAACTCCCCTTTTTTACACAGAAAAAGAAGCAAGTTACATTTTTGTAAGAGCTTTTTTTACTATTAGTGATTTAAGAAATATTTTTTATGATTTATTCCTTGTATATGGAGTAGTATTAAATAGCTAAAATGTTATGGTGATGAAATGATTTTTGATGAAATAATTATTGAAAACCAAAAATATTGCGGTGAAGTGGCAGTCTCCTCCCTTAAAAGTTGTGGAGAAAATAAAATAAATGTCTTCTACACTTTATTATTTGGATACAGGCACTAATATAAATTTGAATGTATAGCCTCTCCATAAATTCCTCTTTTAATCTTTTTGCTAATTTTAACTCAACTCATTTACTGAAGACCAACGCCTTCGAACTTCCTAGGATGAAATTTCACCAAGACTGATGCTTTAAAACTTCTTGAAGGACTGGAGACAGTACGAATGATGTTTGAAATGTTGGGACAAAGAATCCCACATCGATGTCGTAAAAGATCTATCACCCGTTTATAATCTCCAAAGGCCACCCTACTCATTGCCAATTGGTTTTGAGAGCCCAAGGTGACTTTGAGCAATGGTCCTCGCATTCAGCAAATCAAAGCTGAAATCGCTGGTTGTTCGCAGCAAGGACTCACCATAGCTGCATATTATGGAAAACTTCAAAAATTGTGGGAAGATTTGGACAACTTCGAATCCTTATTGTCTTATTCTTGTGGTTCTGCTGACCTGATTGCAGCGGCAGAGAGTCAACGTGAATCAGAGAAGCTCCATCAGCTTCTCATGGGTCTCAACGCTTCAATTTACGGCACGGTCTGCTCCAATTTGTTATCTCAAGACCCGCTTCCCTCTGTCAACCGTGCTTACTCTATTCTTTCTCAAGAAGAACGGTTGCGTGTGGCTGGTACTGGGTCTGCTAATCTGGTGGGTGAGATTATGGGTTTTGCTGAACAAACTCCACGTTTTGTTGCTCCCAATCCGGCAGTTCGTTCGACAGAAAAATCAGACCCGAAGCTTTCTGAATTTCATGATCCGCTTTTGTACGCATTGCAACAAGCCTGGGCATGATGCTTCCTCTTGTTTTGATTTGATCAGGTATCCCGATTGGTGGGGAACGCCTCGTCAGTTTGGACGTGGTTCTGGTGGTCAGGGTTCTTCGCGCAGTGGCCGTCACGGTGGTTTTCAAAATTCGGCTCTTGGGCATGGGCAAGGCGGCGGTCATGTTAATGCCAATGGTAATATTCCCGCGGTTGGCCGTGCACATGCAGCTGTTGTTCCCGGGTCTCAATTTGCCGGCTCCATTGCAACTGAAGATGACAGATCCTTCACGATATCGATGTGGGATTCTTTGTCCTAACATGAAATACTTGAATAAGGCGAATCACGATCATTCTGCAAATATTCAATCTGATGATCTTAAGTTGATGATTTCCATAGTATCAACTTCCCACGAGACCAAATCTTGGGTTGCGGTTCTCTGGGGAAGATCGTGAGATATGGAGTTCTTCCATGGCGGTGTAGCTCCAAAATTAGCCCTTAAGAATTTCTCTTCTTTTGTTCTCAGCTTTACTTTGTACCTATCTTTTATGGGCTCCCATTCTATGGAAGGATGGACCGAGTGTTGATCGTTGATCCTAATTATGTCATTGTAGTCATTGGAGTCTCTATCCGTATACCCGGAGGTACTATACTCCCCCTCCTATTTTTTACACTACTAGTCCTTACTACACTTTTTTCTACTTTTCTAAATAACATCCTATAATTTACAGGTTTAGTCCCTTTGATTTTTTTTCTCTCTCATTTAAAAAACATCTCTAATCTTTAAACGACCATATCTCTCAATCCGTGAAGAATTAGAAAACGTGTTACACATGAATTTTATTGTATTCGTCGAGATCTATCCAACAAGATCCATGTCGAATATTTTTTTCGAGTTTAAAAATGACTAAATTTCGATGGGCAGAATAAGATGGATATCTAGTTTAGAAAGATGGTTAACTCAATTCATTTTAAATTGGTTATCCATTGTGTTTATGTTGATTATCCATCCAGTTTGAACTGGTTATCCAACTTGTTTGTACTGGATATCCACCCATTTGGTTTGTATGCCTATCAAACTTGTTTGTAATGGATATCCCACTTGTTTGTACTGGATATCCATTTCGTTTGTACTGAATATCCAACTCGCTTGTACTGGATATCCATCCATTTGGTTTATATGGTTATCCAACTTGTTTTGTAGTTGTAATCCAACAGGTTTGTATGCATATCCAACTTGTTTGTGCTAGATATTCAACTCGCTTGTACTGGATATCCAACTTCTTTGTACTGGATATCCATCTATTTGGTTTGTATGACTATCCAACTTATTTGTACTGGATATCCATCCATTTGGTTTGTATGCCTATCTAACTTGTTTGTACGCACTGGATATTTATCCAACTTGTTTGTAGTGGATATCCATCCATTTGGTTTGTATGCCTATCCAACTTGTTTGTAATAGATATTCCACTTGTTTGTACTGGATATCCATTTGGTTTGTACTGGATATCCATCCATTTGTTTTTTTTTAAATTATTTTTTTGAAAAAAAGAAATGGTTGTCTAATGTGTTCGTATTGATTATCCAACTGTTCTGTATAGATTATCCGATCATTTTTTTTCTCTACTCTTTGCGAAAATCCTTGTTCAGTTTTTTTGTACTGACTATCCAACCGTTTTGTATGCCTTATCCCATCGTTTTTACTGATTATCCAAACGTAATTTCTCTTCTTTTTTTTCTTCTTTTGAGAAAAAATCTGTCCAATGTGTTTATTGATTATCCATCCGACTTCTCGGTGATGGATGGTTATCCGACTTTTTTTTTCCTTGCTCTTTTAATGAAAATGATTGTCCGATTTTTTTGTACTGGTTATCCAACTAGCTTGTATTACTTATTCAATTATTTTCAATGATTATCCAAATTGTTTGTAATGCTTATCCAAATATTTTATTTTTTATTCTTTTCTTCTTTTTTTTTGAAGATAAGTGAATGTAAAAAATATGATTGGATAACAAGTACAAACAAAATGGATAATCAGTCCAAACCGGTTGGATAGATCTCGTCGAGCACTATAAAATTTATATATAATTCGTGTTCTAATTCTTTACGGATCAAGAAATATATGTAATACAAGAATATCAATCTAAACTAAGTTGGTTATTCATCTTCTTGTTTTCTTTTTTGAAAAGTGAATGTAAAAAATATGATTGGATAAAACAAAATAGGTAATTAGTCCAAACCAGTTGGATAATCAGTATGAACACAACGCATAATCATTTTCAGTTTATTCATTTCCGCCCGTAAGATTTAAATGCATTTAAAGTTCAAAAAAAATATTCAACATTGATCTTGTCACATAGATCTCGTCGAGCACTATAAATTTCATACATGATTCGTGTTATAATTCTTTATGGATCAAAAGATCTAAGGAACACAACAATATGAATGTAAAATAAGTTGGTTATCCATCTTCTTAAACTGGATATCCAATGTGTTCATATTGATTATCCAACTTCTTTGTGGTGGTTATCCAATATTTTTCTCCCTTGCTCTTTTATGAAAATGATTGTCAAACTTTTTTGTACTGATTATCCAACGTGTTGCACTGATTATCCAATTATTTTCTATTGATTATTCAAATTGTTTGTAATGCTTATCCAATCATTTTTTCTTTCTCTCTTTTTTTTGAAGAGAGAATGTCAAAAATATGATTGGATAACAAGTACAAATAGAATGGATAATCAGTCCAAACCAGTTAGATAATCAGCAGGAACACAACGGATAACCATTTTTCAAAGAAAAACGAAAAACACATTTCTTCATTTCTGCCTGTAAAATTTAAATGATTTAAAGTTCAAAAAAATATTCAACATGGATCTTATCGGATAGATTTCGTCGAGCACTATAAATTTCATGCATAATTCGTATTCTAATTCTTTACGGATCAAGAGATATATGCAATACAAGAATCTTAATATAAACTAAACTGGTTATCCATCTTTCTAAACTAGATATCCATCTTATTCTGCCCATCGAAATTTAGTCATTTTTAAACTCAAAAAAAATATTCGACATGAATCTTGTTGGATAGATCTCGACAAGTACAATAAAATTCATGTGTAACACGTTTTCTAATTTTTCACGGATTGAGAGATATGATCGTTTGAATATTAGAGATTTTTTTTTTAGAAGAGAGAGAAAAAAGTGACATGGACTAAATTTACAAATAATAGGAAGATTATTAGAAAAAGTAAAAAAAAGTACAATAAGGACTAGTAGTGCAAAAAATAGGAGGGCGGGTATGGTGCTCCCGGGTGCACCCAATAAATTGCCTAGTCATTGTATTAATTGATTTACATTCCATTTTTGCAATTTAAATTATGACATGGCTAGTTAAAAATCATTGAAGGTATATGATTCCAATTTAAGTTATTTGGAGACATAGTTTAGCAGATTAGGTTAACTTAGGAAAAAAACTCGAAATTGGAAGCTGGTTATGGTCGATAATCAAAACCAAAGGAAATGTGGTATTTTCAGTTTTGTTTTGTTTGTTTGTTTGTTTTTTTTTTTAAACCAAATCATCCGCATTAATATAGAGAAGATGGTTTCCTTCTATTTCTATAAGTTTAGGTTTTTATTTTATTTTATTTTATTTTGAATTTTTCTTTTAGGGAAACTAAAATAGTGACCTTTTTTTTCTTTGTTTATTTGGATTCTTTTTTTATTTATTTTTTTGGGTTGGGAGACTTTTAAGGATGATAATATGACATTTGGAATTTTGGGCAAAATTTGATTTTTACTACAATGGGAGTTATATAGAAGATTATAGATTATAGATTACTGCAGTTTTTTCCTCAAAAAATCATCTACAATTGTTATTTTTTGCAAAAAAAAAAAATTTTTATTGATAACTTTCTTCTATCAACGTCTTGTTATTCGTGGGCATGTAGTCCACCGCACGTGAATAAACTCCGCTAGTACAATGAAAGAGATAAAAGTATAGAAAACTAAAGTAATTAAAACGTAGAGGTAAAAGCATAGAAATTTAAATTAACACCAGATCGTAATAACATTAAGTTAAATTAGTTTTGTTTATTTGTGTGCAATTAATGATAGGTATTGAGTTCGTTTGGTTATCATTCGATTATTAATTGCACTATATCACAGTTGACAAAGAAAGTTGTTTTATTTACACTCTCTGAAAAACAATTTCATCATATCCACCGCTGAATTTCATCTCTGAGTCACCGGATGTAGCTTTACCATTGCAACACTTTTCATCCCATTTCTCATCAGCTTCATCATCATGGATGAAGTACCCGTAGAACACGGTGGCGCTGCCGATGATTGCGACGGTGTAAAGAATCACGGCATAAACAAAGTCGAAAAGGGATGCGAATTGGTAAGTGAACCCGAAAATAATACCCGAAAGCAAGCACCAAATCGCAACTCCCAGGAGGGTCTTCCGGGGTGATTTCTGGCCGCGTGGCAGCCGGCGATACGCGCAGTAGCAGCATTCCAAAAAGAACAAACTGGAGTAGATATACAGGATGAAACCCAGGAACCAATAGTTGCCGGAGGAATATGCCCGGAGCATCGTCCCGATGCTGTTCGTCATCAGGAGTATCCAAGTCATGGAGTTGAAAAACGCTGTCGAATGGCGTCGATATGGCCATTCCCCAAACTCAAAGTTATTAGCCATTTAGTAGTTATTAAAGAATATGCTGCCTTTGAAATTTGGCTGACAAAAAGAAACTTCAGGTAGATAGTAATAGTGATAGTGACTCGTAGCTAGTACAGTATAATTTTCTATCTGGACAAAACTTTTAGTATCAAAACTATGTGGTGGTTTAAGTGAGAGGAGCAGATGACAATGAAAATTGATGATCCTTGCCTATAAATAAATACTAGAAGAAAGAAAATGAAAGGAAATGACACTTTAAATAAGTTGAGGGTCTTTTTCCTACTAATTTCCAAGAAATTCCCAAGAAAGAAGATCAGTAGTAGTAAATTCCAACAAATTTCCATGAACTCCCGAAGAATATATAGTAGTCCCCGCGAGAGTAGTCCCTAGGAAGCTACGAACATCTTTTCAATCTAAATCTTGATAGTTGCTTTGGAAAATTAAAATAAAGGTCATAGCAACGATAGCTTACGAATCGAAAAGCCAACAGAGATGATCCTGTGACAATATTAGTCAAGGCTCCCGTGTATGCTGCATAGACATTGTTTTTTACACGTCGGAACCAAGGCTCCACCATGGTAACTGGGTAAAGAAGGCAAAGAATTTCGATGAAAAGGGCAAAAGAAATGTTTCTGAACAGATATGGTAATGGCAAGAATAGAAGAACTGCAGTGAAGCTACATGTGTCTCTACTAGAAATTCCATATATTCCCAGAACCAAAAGAACGCGCATCAAAATTTTGAGCCCCCAAAGCTCTAAAGGGCTTCTTTCTGCATAAGTGATAAAGGGTACTCCGGATGATCAACTTCCTAAGCTTAACCCCCGGCTGATAACTTCCAAACTAACAATCCTCAGTATGTTTATGGTAATGTCTCATCTACTGTCACTACTACTTATGAGACTTTTCTGGATAAGTTCTTTAATCCACAGCCCACACATTTAAGGATGACAGTTTCTGTATCAGGATCTGGCTTGATTACAAATTTTACATCCAAAAAGTCTCGGATATGCCGGAGTGTTTCAATTCCATAAGGTGAGAGCTTTCCTACTCGGACCTTTGAAACATCTTGGGGGCACAATGCACAGAGAAGAAAAAGCAGCCCCTGCAAAGTACACATGACAAGCTCTGAGAACATACTACGAGTCAACGACCTCGTCTAATTACAACCTAATTTACAACAGGAATGCTGACTCTGAATGATATAACTGGAAGCCTCAGAGGATAAGATTTCAAAGGGCCACTAAACAAAGCCCAGGTGCAAAAAATCAGATTCTTGTGTAGCAAGATGAAAGGGAAAAAAAGTTCGCATAACAACACAGAGGCATCAGAAACTAAAAAATATGGATCAACATAATGTCAGTAATTTGCCAGGATTTTGAAGATCCAAGCTATGCTAAAATGGTGTCTCCAACAAACACTTAATATAAAAACATGATTAAACTACAAATAGCAGAGCATGAAAGCTACCTGGTGAGTTGAATCCACTACCCCTCCTTGTTCAATCTCCGCAAAGAGATCACCAGCGATTTGCTCGCCGACTTCTTCTGCAGGGATCAGATATTTCTTTTCATCATCTTCCACCCCACTCTCATCCTCTACTCGAGCATAGCAAACTGCAGTATCAGCTGAAATAAAACAGCCAGAAGTTGTTTCTGCAACAAGAGAAATCCCATATCCAGGTGACCTGCAGAATGTATATACAGGTTTAGGCATTTCATTTTTATCAACTAACACGAAAATACCATTCGCGTTCATGTTAAATATGCCATTGGCTAATTAAGAAAAGAAGGAATGTTGGGGAAAATATATGAACATACTTTCCGGCCAGCGGACCAGCTTTATGATCAGTGAATATATGAATGTCGGCAAGCATGGGATTCATAATCCCACGAGCTGCATGTATCATTGTGTTCTCAAATTGAACAGAGACTCTGGTAGAAAAGGTAACTCCTCTAATCCTCTTCACCAATCCTTCATCAATCCAGGAGACTGCCTTTTAAAACAATGAATTCAAACATCAGAGTTATAAAGAAAACAGAAAACCAAAAAAAGAATTAATAAGTTAACAAGCTGAAAACTTACTGTTAAACCACCCTGAAGAATGGGCACAGACAAAATAACTTCTCCTCCACCACCAGGAGCAACAGCCCGGCTCTGAATTTTTAGGTCCAATCCATCAGAGTTAACACCAAAATGTTTCAAAATAGGCAAAGTGGTCGATTTGAATGTGTCCACAGATGGGTCTTTAGAATCATTCGTGATCCCTGTAATACCAAAAGTGGTTGTGGCAATTATGAAAGGAGCAAAATGCATTCAAGCTATCCAAGAAACCATACAAAGCATATCACGAGCTAGGTGGACACATGAGTATGACGTCAACAAAACCATAATGAGCTGAATATGCAGTGACAACCATTTACAAAATTGAGGGATTTCGGGGAGCCACTTGGATAGGGTCCAGACTTAAAAGACTCAAATGCTAAATCTTGAATAATGAAATGAAAAGACGACATCCATACTTGAGGTCAAATCCCAAATTTGATGCATTCTTATGGAATCATTATTATATCATGTTTTTACCACAGAACATATAAGGAAAATGTCTATCCTAACAATTTGGAGAGGAAAACTAAGATCACTTTGAATGATTAGCAGCTTCAGCAGCAGCTGATTTACACAAAGTATATCAATCTTTAAAAAAGTCACCAAAAACAGAAGTTTCACCACAGAGTGGTTCTTTAAACAAAAGTTCTTAACAAATTTCCAAACAAGATTCTTTAACTCCATTGCACTACCTTTCGGTCCCTATTTGTGAAACATTTCAAAGTAAGCCACAAACTGGGAAGCATGAAAAGGAATAAGGTACCTCTGAGGCTTATGGTGAGGGGTTTCTTCCCGAACAAAGCAAGCACAATCAACGGCTCCAAGAAATATCCAATGGACCGACTCAGCCCGCAGTCGTGACTCAAATGCTTCCCGCCCATAATAATCCCAGGCTTGTACTTCAACTTGGTACCTGTAAACGCAAGCTTATCATTCCTAAACCAAGGAATCAAAGACTATAAATCAGCTCAAACACAAAAACCCTAAAGTTCACTAGAAACTATTACCAGTTTCATTGATTTCCACCTTGCAACCGTCGCATACTTTCTCAAGGAGGCGTAGGAAGGAAATCTCGTGAGGTCGGAGGCCAGGCATCATGGAGTCGGCACGAATGTCTTCAATAAGGATAGGAGTTGACGATAGCGTCGACAAGAGCAGCCGGAGCCGCAGGTACTGGCTTCCCCGGAGCTTCTTAAATGATATTTTCGCCATAATCCGTCCACTTCCCTCACACTCTGTAGCTTTGTAACACTAACAACAAATTAATAATCAGCTCCTAAGTCTCCGGCGGTTCGTCGGAATTTCTGAATCGAGTTAATTACAAAAACAAGGAGGCCGGAGGCGGGGGACGGAGAAAGTGGCGGCAGCTGGAAGGGTTTTGGTTCGGTAACTACTCCTGTAATCTGTATCATTATATTATCCCAAAGGGTACTATCGTTATTCTTTAAACATTGAGGGGGTAAAACTGTAGTTGAATAAAAAAAAAAAAAGGACATCTTTTGCCGTTATTATGTAATATCTGGTTTTCTCCACTTCCTTTTTGTCATCTCAGGTATTTAATTATGACAATTAGCCTTTACTTTTACTTAGTCTGATATGAATATCTGTTATCTCGCTTCTTTTTCTCCCCCGACAATGCTTGAAAATTTGTTCTCTGGTACTGTGATGATCAATTATTCGTATATTTCGAGATTTCTTTTTTTTAAAAAATGATTTTAATATTCTTCTTTTCGTATTTTTTTTTCCAATTCACAAATCATTTTGCGTTCTGGACGCATGAATATCTAGGTTTTGTTCTTGTGTCCTTCAATGTTATTTTATTTATTCTCATGCATTCTAGAGCATATGATTTCTTGCTCTATTATTAGCTCTGAACCACTGGTTCTCCGTTATTCGTTACGTCGTTCTTTATTTCATTGTGACTAAAATGTCCAAATAGTCCTTTACATTTTAGGTCTACTTGAATTTACGTCCTTAACATTAACATTTCAATATCGTAGTCCCAAATATTATGTTTTCACACTTTTTTTTGGTCTCATTTCACTGTTTCCGGCCGTTGACATGCCGGATTCAGGAGTATTTTTGTCTTTTAATTTAATTTAATTTTTTATTAAAATTTAAATCATTAAAAGTATTTTAAAATTGAAATTTCATTATTTAATTGTTAAAATATTATTTATTAATTAAAAATATTATTAAACAATTTTAAAATTTATCATTATTTTTAAAATTACTTTTTTCATTTACTTTTTACTTTAAGTACACAGTAAATGGTAATTATGTTGCACTTTTAACTTTGGGCCCACTGTAACTTAAAAAATTTAAAGTTACAATAAATAATTCAAAATTCAATTATTTTTTTAAAAAAAGGAAAAAAAAAGCAAAATTAAGATTTTTTTTTACTCTGACCACTATAGTAAACCCTAAATAGTAATTATGTTACACTTTTAACCTTGGGCCCACTGTAACTTAAAAAATTTTCCGAGTTACAGTAAATAATTCAAAATTCAATTTTTTTGAAAAAAAAAAAAGTAAAACCAAGATTTTTTTTTATTTTGACCGCTATAGTAAATCCTAAATGGTAATTATGATACACTTTTAACCTTGAGCTCACTGTAACTTAAAAAATTTACCGAGTTACAGTAAATAATTCAAAATTTAATTTTTTTTTTAAAAAAAAAAGAAAAAGCAAAATAAAGTAATTGACCGCTACAGTAAACCCTTATGTTACACTTTTGACCTTGGACCCAATGTAACTTAAACAACTTGCCGAGTTGCATCAAATAATTCAAAATTCAACTGTAGCGGTCAAAGTAAAAAAAGAAATCTTGGGTTTGCTTTTTCTTTTTTTTAAAAAAAAATTGAATTATTTACTGTAACTCGATAAATCTTTTAAGTTATAGTGGGTCTAAAGTTAAAAGTGCAATATAATTATCATTTAGGGTTTAATGTAGTGGTTAGAGTAAAAAAAATGGTTTTGCTTTTTCTTTTTTTTAAAAAAAAATTAAATTTTGAATTATTTACTGTAATTCGGTAAATTTTTTAAATTACAGTGGGCCCAAGATTAAAAGTGCAACTTAGTTACTACTTTAACTTAAGATAAATGATAAATAAAAAAATTAATTTTAAAAATAATGTAAATTTTAAAATTTTAAAATAATATTTTTAATTAATAAATAATATTTTAACAATTAAATAATAAAATCTGAATTTTAAAATATTTTTAATGATTTAAATTTTAATAGAAATTAAAATTAAATTAAAAGACAAAAATACCCCTAATTCCGGTATGTCAACGGCCGAAATAGTGAATGGGACAAAAAAAGTGTGAAAACATAATGTTTGGGACTGCGATATTGAAATATTAATGTTAGAGACGTAAATTCAAGTAGGTCCAAATGTAAGAGACCATTTGGACATTTTAGTCTTTCATTGTTGATTGTTTGGTGTGTGGGTAGAAGAACAACTATGCAATCATATAAGTATACTTTTCACACTGTGCCAGGTGAATCCAACCAAATGTAGTGACAGCATGTTCTCTGACTTCCTCATTGGCACGAATGCATTTTCCTCTTGTTTGGTTTCTACTAGACACTTTTGCTCTTGGAGAGGTTGGTCTGGGAACAAGCCCTAGAGGTTGGTCTAAGGCAAATGGAAATTCAGTCTGCATGAGTATTTCAAGAGGTTGTGTGCTGATATGTCAATTGATTACAACAAGATACCATACTTTAACTTAGCAGACCCTTCTGCTCAATTATTTGTGGATATTGCTCTTTCCATTTCAAGTTGTCCAGGTTTTGAACCCAAACTCTTATTTTGCAAAAGGCTCGTGAGTTATGAGGGGTTTCCAAAACTTTATGCAACTGAAGGGTCTCTAGGGCTTGTTCCTCATCATGATCATGATCAAATGTTGGCATTTAGTGAAGGAAGAGTTTTGTGTTGCCCTAGCTTAAAAGGCAGATTACTTAGCTCAACTTTTCGGACTTTGATTACTACAACTGTCAATTATAAAGTAGAACTGCATATTTCTCAAGTGATAGAGATTTTTGTTTTTACGATTAGATTTGCTGGGACTATGGAAGAATTGGCACTCTATCAAATAGAAATATTGGTCCCACGTGCAATTTGGTATTACTGCAGTTTTTTTCCTCCAAAAAAATCATCTAGAATTGTTATTTTCTGCAAGAAAATTTTATTGACAACTTTCTTCTTTTAACTTACTGATATTCGTGGGTACGTAGTCTACCGCGCGTGTATAAACTCCACCAGTACAATGAAAGAGGTAAAAGTATAGAAAGCTAAATTAAAACGTAGAGGCAAAAGCATAGAAGTTTAAATTAACACCAGGGCCGTGATAACATCAAGTTAAATTAGTTTTGTTTATTTGTGTGTGATTAATGAAAGGTATCGAGTTTGTTTGGTTACCATTCTATGAATTGCATTATATCACAGTTGATAAAGAAACTTGTTTTATTTACACCCTCTGAAAAACAATTTCAACATATCCACCGCTGAATTTCATCTCGGAGTCACTGGATGTGTCTTTACCATTGCGACACTTTTCATCCCATTTCTCGTCACCTTCATCATCTTGGATGAAGTACCCGTAGAACACGGTGGCGCTGCCGATGATTGCGACGGCGTAAAGAATCACGGCGTAAACCAAGTCGAAAAGGGATGCGAATTGGTAAGTGAACCCGAAAATGATACCCGAAAGCAAGCACCAAATCGCAACTCCCAGGAGGGTCTTCCGGGGTGATTTCTGGCCACGTGGCAGCCGGCGATACGCGCAGTAGCAACATTCCAAAATGAACAAACTGGAGTAGACGAACAGGATGAAACTCAGGAACCAATAGTTGCCGGAGGAATATGCCCGGAGAATCGTTCCGATGCTGTTCGCCATCAGGAGTACCCAAGTCATGGAGGTCAAAAACGCTGTCGAGTGGCGTTGATATGGACATTCCCCGAACTCAAAGCTATTAGCCATTTACTAGTAGTATAATAAGAATATATGCTGCCTTTGAAATTTGGCTGACCAAAAAAACTTCAGGTATACTAATTTTGATAGTGACTTGTAATATAATTTTCTATCCAGACAAATTGATAGTTTAAACTATTATGCTTTTGTGGTGGGAGGAGCAGAGCAGATGACAATGGAGATTTGATGATCCTCATTTATAAGACTATATATACTACTAGCCGAATGAAAATGAAAGGAAATGAGACTTTAAATAGCTCGACGTTCTTTTCCATCCAAATTTCCAAGAAATTCCTAAGAAAGATCACTAGTTGTCAATTCTCCACAAATTTCCATGAACCTTCGAAAAGACAAACTCCCGAAGGAAATAAATTGTTTTTCTAGCCCTGTGTGAGAGAGTAATACCTAGGAAGCTACTAACATTTTTTTCCATCTAAATCTCGATAATTGCTTTGGAAAAATTAAAATAAAGGTCACAGACTCACAGCATATGAAAAACCAGCAGAGATAATCCTGTGACAATAGTCAAGGCTGGTAACTGGTGAAAGAAGGCAAAGAATTCCGATGAAAGCGGAAAAGTAATGTTTTTGAACAGATATATGGTAATTGCAACAATAGATGAACTGCAGTGAAGCTACATATGTGTCTACTAGAAATTCCAATATATTCCCAGTCTTAAACAAATGGACGAAGTCTTAATCAGCTTTACAGAATACAAAGGATAACCAAAAGAAGGCACATCAAAATTTTGAGCCCCCAAAGATCAAAAGGGCTTCTTACCTCGTTAGTGATAACGGGCACCGCTAATGATCATGCAATTTGCTAAGCTTAACCGCGGCTGATGAACTTCCAAACTAATAATCCTCAGTGTATTTATGGTAATGTCTCATCTTGTGCCACTACTACTTACAAGACCTTTCTGGATAAGTTCTTTAATCCACAACCCACGCATTTAAGGATGACAGTTTCTGTATCAGGATCTGGCTTGATTACAAATTTTACATCCAAGAAGTCTCGGATTTGCCGGAGTGTTTCAATTCCATAAGGTGAGAGCTTTCCCACTCGGACCTTTGAAACATCTTGGGGACACAATGCACACAGAAGAAAAAGCAGCCCCTGCAAAGTACACATGACAAGCTCTGAGAAAACACTACAAGTCAACGACCTCATCTAATTACAAAGTAATTTACAACAGGAATGTTGACTCTGAATGATATAACTGAAAGTCTCAGAGGATAAGATTTCAAAGGGCCACCCAACAAAGCCCAGGAGCCAAAGATAAGATTCTTGGGTGGCAAGATGAAAGAGAAAAAAAAAAAAAGGCTTCGCATAATATCACAAAGATGCATCGGGAACATTAAATATGGATCAACATAATGCCAGTAATTTGCCAGGATTTAGAAGATCTAAGCTGTGCTGTAATGTTGTCTCCAATAGAGACTTAAGTATAAAAACATGATTAAACTGCAAATAGCAGAGCATGAAAGCAACCTGGTGATTTGAATCCACTACTCCTCCTTGTTCAATCTCCGCAAAGAGATCACCAGCGATTTGCTCGCCAACTTCTTCTGCAGGGATCAGATATTTCTTTTCATCATCATCAACCCCACTCTCATCCTGTCCTCGAGCATAGCAAACTGCAGTATCAGCTGAAATAAAACAGCCAGAAGTTGTTTCCGCAACAAGAGAAATCCCATATCCAGGTGAGCTGCACAAAGTATACAGGTTTAGGCATTTAATTTAAATCAACTAACAAAATGAGAAAACCATTCACGTTCATGTTAAATATGCCATATTGGCTAATTAAGAAAAGAAGGAAGTTGGGGAGAATAAATGAACATACATTTTATCCAGCGGACCAGCTTTATGATCGGTAAATATGTGAATGTCGGCAAGCATGGGATTCATAATCCTACGAGCTGCATATATCATTGTGTTCTCAAACTGAACAGAGACTCTGGTAGAAAAGGTAACTCCTCTAATCCTCTTCACCGAACCTTCATCAATCCAGGAGACTGCCTTTAAAGCAATGAATTCAAACATCAGAATTATAAAGAAAATGGAAAACCAATAAAAAGAACACTAATAAGTTAACAAGCCGAAAACTTACTGTTAAACCACCCTGGAGAATGGGCACAGACAAAATAACTTCTCCTCCACCACCAGGAGCAACACCCCGGCTCTGAATTTTTAGGTCCAATCCATCAGAGTTAACACCAAAACGTTTCAAAATAGGCAAAGTGGTCGATTTGAATGAGTCCACAGATGGGTCTTTGGAATCATTAGTGATCCCTGTAGTACCAAAAGTTGTTTAGAATGGCAATATGAAAGGAGCAAAATGCATTCAAGCTATCCAAGAAACCATACAAAGCATATCACGAGGTAGGTGTATACATGAGTATGACGTCAACAAAACCATAATGAGCTAAATATGCAGTGTTAACCATTTACGTAATTGAGGGATTTCAACTAGTCACTTGGTTAGGGTGCAGACTTGAAACACTCAAATGCTAAATCTTGTACAATGAAATGAGATGACAACATCCATACCTAAGGTCAAATCCCAAATTTGAATTTGATGCATTCTTATGGAATCATTATTATATCATATTTTCACCACAGAATATAAGGAAAATGTCTATCCTAACAATTTGGAGAGGAAAACTAAGATCACTTGAATGACTAGCAACTTCTGCAGCAGCTGATTTACACAAATCACTTTGATTAACTTTTCAATAAAATAATTCAAAACTTTAAAAAAGTCACAGAATTGTTCTTTAAAGGGAAGTTCTTAACAAATTTCCTAACAAGATTCTTTAACTCCATTGCACTACCTTCAGTCCATATTTCTGAAACATTTCGAAGTAAGCCACAAACTGGGAAGCATGAAAAGGAATAAGGTACCTGTGAGGCTTATGGTGAGGGGTTTCTTCCCGAACAAAGCAAGCACAATCAACGGCTCCAAGAAATATCCAATGGACCGACTCCGCCCGCAATCGTGACTCAAATGCTTCCCGCCCATTATAATCCCAGGCTTGTACTTCAATTTGGTACCTGCAAAAGCAAGTTTGTGATTCCTAATCAAATAATATTAATCAGGTCAAAAAAAAAAAAAAACCTGCAGTTCACTCGAAACTATTACCAGTTTCATTGATTTCCACCTTGCAACCGTCGCATACTGTCTCAAGGAGGTGTAGGAAGGAAACCTCGTGAGGTCGGAGGCCAGGCATCATGGATTCCGCACGAATGTCTTCAATAAGGATAGGAGTTGACGACAGCGTCGACAAGAGCAGCCGGAGCCGCAGGTTTTGGCTGCCCCGGAGCTTCTTAAACGATATTTTCTCCATAATCCGTCCACTTCCCTACAGTCTATAGCTTTGTAACACTAAAAAAAAGCCAATAATCGGCTCCCAAGTCAACCGCGATTCGTCGGAGAGTTAATTAAAAACACAGGGAGGTCGGAGGCGGGGGACGGAGAAAGTGGCGGGGTTTTGGGTCTGTAACTCTGTAATCTGTATCATTATTTATCCCAAAGGGTACTGTCGTTATTCTGTAAACATTGAGGGTTAAAACTGTATTTGAATAAAACAACGATATCTTTTACCGCTATGAGATATGAACAAAACAAATCATGCGTGGGTCCCAGGGATCAAATTGTTTTCTGCCAAAACAATGTATAGTAGACGAAATTTCCCAATTTCCACCCCGAAAGGTATAAGACTTCCTCTCTACGGTAAGCTCCTTTCTCTCTCAGTCGCTCTCTCTTTCCTCCGTTGGTGGTATTTATAGAGTACAATCGTTTAGCGTTTCTGTTTGTGTTTTCGGTGGTCTGCGTGTTTGATTTTTGGCTGTTTGGCTGGTGGTTTTTCCTTGCAGAATTTTGGTAAAACTCCACCCCACTCTCTTCGTATCATTTGTTGACGCAAGTACGATTTTCGTTGCGAAATTCTTCTGAAGTTTGCCCTAGAATTTTGTATTTTCGGCGGCTGTTTCTTTTCCTGTTTGGTTTGTCGATTTTTAGGCGTGAATTGAAACTGGTGAATTTGTGTTGTGCTTTGATTGTTTTTTCTTTTTGTAGTTTGTATGAGTGGTTTTGTCGCTTGGTTTTTCAGCAAATTGGTTTTTACTGGTAGTGTTCTTGTTATTTCAGTGAAAATTCTTGGAGCGGCTGAATTTTTTGGGCTCTGATTTTGGGTTTTCATGAGTGACGAGGTGTCGGTTTGTTGTGATTTTGATTTTTGTTTGGATTTCTCTTTGCAATTGTTATGTTGGATGATTTAATTTTCTGGATCGTTTGTGACAATTTTTAGGGTTCGTCCATGTAATTTTCCCCATTCTGGTTGAGGTTTCTTTCTTCTCAACATATATTTCTGAGAAATTTAGGGCTGAAACTCTTTTCTGCACTTGATTTTGATTGCTTTTCTTTGGCGGGCAACTTGAAATGACAACATCAGTATTTAATTTTCTTTGTTCTGGTAATTACAAATTGAAAGTGCTTAGTTCCTCACATATCGATGTGTGTGCAGATATCTGAACAATGGGTCAAGCTCTTGGATGCATTCAAGTGGATCAGGCTACTGTTGCTGTGACGGAGCAGTTCGGAAAGTTTAACCAGGTGCTTGAGCCTGGATGTCACTGTGTACCATGGTGTTTAGGCTACCAGGTGGCCGGCGCCCTAACTCTGCGCCTCATGCAGCTTGATGTTCGCTGTGAAACTAAAACCAAGGTCCGAAAGTCCTTCTTTTCTTCTTATATTATAATTGCTTACTGTTATCCCTGGCATTCATTTTTTATGGAACTGTGACTAATTGTTGTGCAAGCTGCATGTGAATTTCCTTAATTGATATTTACTCTCCCATCTTGGTGTATATAGATATGAAAGGACATGCGTCTGAACTTTGGAATTCATTTTTTCAGGACAATGTCTTCGTGACTGTGGTTGCATCCATTCAGTACCGTGCTTTGGCAGATAAGGCTTCTGATGCCTTCTACAAGCTCTCAAACACTAGGGAGCAGATTCAATCCTATGTTTTTGATGGTAAGTTTTCAGTATAGAGACGTTTAAGCAAATATTTTGTGCTCTTTAAATATAAGGCATCTGACATGTGTATCATGCTTGCATAGCAAATTAAAAACTGAGATGGTTGCTGTTCTATAACATGTATTGTTCTTTTTTGTTGAAATATGGATCTGATCCAGTTCTGTATGCGGACTTCTTTTCATGATTTTAGTTGTTAGCTTTTACTGATTATTTCTATTTATGTGTTTAGTCATAAGGGCAAGCGTGCCAAAGTTGGAACTGGATTCTGTCTTTGAGCAGAAGAATGATATTGCCAAAGCTGTTGAGGATGAACTTGAAAAGGTAATTTGTTTCTTGATTTGTGAAAAAATCGTTGTTATTTAGACCTTTGATCAGAAGCTGATTAGTCTTGACTTTTGTGTCTTTTGTCTTCCATCCTTTTCAGGCCATGTCCACCTATGGGTATGAAATTGTGCAGACCCTCATTGTGGATATTGAACCAGATGTTCATGTGAAAAGAGCCATGAATGAGATTAATGCAGGTGAATTATTGAATTCATTGAGTTTTGTAGGTTTGAAGAAGTTAAATGCTGTCTACATGATATAGTAATATAAAAGAATCGTTTTCCTGCTTTTGGGATTTTTTCTATTTTTGACTGCTTGGTATCAGATATTTTGTTGCAACCAATGTGCTTATTATAATAGGATTTCATTGTTATTTTCGTTGGCGCTAAGCATTAATCTGTATATTGTGTGTTGTCTGTGCTTAAATCCCCCAGCTGCTAGAATGAGGCTTGCCGCCAATGAGAAGGCTGAAGCAGATAAGATACTGCAGATCAAGAAAGCTGAGGGAGAAGCAGAGTCAAAGTATCTGTCAGGGCTCGGGATTGCTAGGCAGCGCCAAGCTATCGTGGATGGGTTGCGTGATTCTGTGATTGCCTTCTCAGAGAATGTTCCTGGAACTACTGCTAAGGACGTGATGGATATGGTCCTGGTGACTCAGTACTTTGACACGATGAAGGAGATTGGAGCCTCTTCCAAGTCATCTTCAGTGTTCATCCCACATGGACCTGGTGCTGTGAAGGACATTGCCACCCAGATCAGAGACGGGCTTCTTCAGGGTCAAACCATGCAGCGTTAGTCTGCCTTTTGGTCCGCCAAACCAATCGTGATGACAGAAATTAGAAAATCACTAGGACGTCTTGAAAGCTGGTTTAGTAATGGTATTTTGGAGACTGGTGTTAGTTGAGATTCATATGGTTTTACTTTGACTTATTATTAGTAGTTTGCTGGTAGTTCATCCTCCTTGGTAAATATGTTCTTGTTTCTGATCACTGCGGAAGTTATCTAGTTTGAAATTACTGTGGAAGTAATCTAGTTTGAAAACCCTGTTAGCAGCATTAGTAGGCTGTCTTAAGGATTTTTTTTAAACTTCAATTGCCTTTGTGAAATTGTTTCTTCTTAGTTTGAAAGTGGCGTGTCCAAAAATTTCTTCTTAATTTGCGCGCTGTGAATAGTCTAACACGCAGAAACAATTGCTGATATCTGAAACCTTTCCCAAGTAAAACTAGAGCTTCATGTCCACTTCTTGCTTTTGTGATTTTTTTCGAAAATATCTCTTACCAGAAGTCAAATTCATCAGTCGTTATAATGATCCAAGTTTTTCCTTTTGGAAGGGTGGAAAAAATAATTGAATATAGGCATGCTGATTGCCCAAAGTTGTTTTGAGAGTGACATTCTGATGGTCCTTCAAAGAAAATGTATAGCAAGATAATGTACTCTATAAAATTCCAATTGGATAATGCTAATAGACTTTTAGTAGATTTAACTGCAGTTTGTGATCCCAGTCTCTCCAGTGTGTATACCTTTAAATGCATTTTTTTAAAATGGGAAAATCGTCATCTCAATTTCAAACTGTAATTGGGGGAAGGAATATTGTGTGATGCCGTAATCTTAACGACGTGACGCCGTGATTTCATTTGCCGCGTTGTTTTTTCCTCCATGGAAATGGATGTTTGGGCGTCACTGTCACGGTCGCCGTTTTGTTAGTAATAACGTCAAAGGGAAAGGCCATGAGAATCATTGGTGAAAATTGTGATGGGGGAGTTTCCTATGAAATTTCCGGAGATATTTTCTATGTCATTTACATTAAACCGGCTGTCGTGCAACTAACGTCTATCCGCCGCACGACGCTCTCTGGCATATTTGACAAAACTTACAAAATTACATAACTCATTTTTTAAAGTCGAAAGCAAACAAACATATCGTACTTCAGTATGTGACGCAGCAAATAATCTCTTATAAATACAATTGGGTGCAAATGTGCAATGTACCAACCAGATCAATTGTGATAGAATTTTCCTTTTGTGGATGGACAACCTTGCAAGAAAAATATATTGGTGTTATGGAAAAATCCATATATACTTAGTAGTAGTAAGTACTAACGCGTTTTATTGTTTGAGTGCTTTTAATATTCAGCAAGAAAATGAAATACTCCAAACACTGAACCCCTTTTTTTTTTTTTTACTTTTATTAGTGGCATCTTATCTCCAACAACTTTATTGGTCTTGGTCTACAAATTTAGAATTTCTGAAAATGGCCTACGTTATATATCCTTTATCATTATCATCATTTGTCAGATCTTGGAAATTGTCCGCTCTTTTCCTCTTTTCTCACTTGAATTTCGATCATTTTTCCACAAAATTATTGAGTAAAATAATCGTCATAATCGATCTTAAACTCATCCACGAGGCACTAACCCTCAAATAGCCCTTTTCGTTTATTGACTAAGGGTATGTTTGTTTCGTTTTTTTAATGTTTATTTTTAAGTGTTTTTTTGTATTGAGAATGTAAAAATATGTATTAGAAATATAAAAAAGTATTTCAGAATGAGACAGTTATTATTTTATTAATCTAAAAAAATCATCAAAAAACACTAAACAAACAAAGCCTAAGTGCAAATTCCCAAATCTACTACTCAAGTTAGTCGTCGGAATATATAATGCGTGCGGGGACTGATGTAAGATTGACAGGTAATATGACTTTGAGTCATCCCTTGGATCATAAATCAGTCCCAATACAGTAACCTACAAATCATATTAGAGAAATAAATCCCTCAATCAAGTTATTTTAGAACACAAATTTTTAACGGAAAAAAAAAAGATAGACGAATTTAGCGTTAATTTCCTTGCACTAATTTCTCATTTTTGTGTTTGTGTGTATGTGTGTTTATGGTGATGAATTTTAGGATAAGCATGATTATTATGGTTCACTTGCATCGAACTTACCTTGTGATTTTGATATAAACTCTGTAATGGAACTAAGCCAAAAATTGGATCAGATAGGGACAATAATAAAGTGAAAAAAACTTTTAAAAGAAACCCCAATATGGATATGTGTGAAATGAATTCGTCAAATAAAGATCACCTATTCGCCTTCTGACCCGATTATGAAAGCAAAATAAAACACACACACACGCGAAAAGTGGGGTGCATTGTGCTGAGACTTGTACTTTTGGAAAATGTTTCAAATCTTACGAAAGATTAAAATGTAACGAAATTGTTGATGGATTCATGAGGTAAGATATTTTTTGGGCGAACTTCATTTTACCCCTTGAGTTTTAGTCCCTTCTATCATAAACCTCCGAGTTTTGGTAAGACTATTATTTACTCTCCTGAGCAGAGTCAAACATAAAAATGACCAAAATGACCATGTTTTACATGTATCCATTTCTTTTTTGTTTTTTTGGTTTTTTTTTTTTAATTTTTGACCGTTTAAAATGAAAATTAATTAAAATTTGTTATTTTACTTCTAATTTAAACAAGTTAATAAATAAAATTTAATTCATGATTAATAATATTAAATTAATTATATTTTACAAAAAATTAATTAATAAAGATTATTTTATTTCAGAATATATGATATAGTTAAGTTTGAGAATTTATTATTATGTGCATTAACATACATACATGAATTAATGTGGAGTATTTTTTTTAACTTAATTTATTTTTTATTTTTCAAAAAAATATTTAAACTGTATAATTTAAAAAATGAAACTTAAGGATATCTTTTACCGTTTACACAAAGTTGATGATATGTTAGTATGATGAGGGGGGAGTGGGTAGGTTGACTAGGAGTCAAGGGGGTTTATGGTAGTATTATCAAAACTTAAGGAGTTTATAGTAGATTGAGTCAAAACTCGGGGAGTGAAATGTAGTTCGCACATTTTTAGTTTTATTTTTCTTATATATTATATAATCGGTATTCCAATATTATCTCAAACGAACTTAGGCTAGCTAGCCTTATAAAAATTCAAACTGTTAAAACATATTCTTTTCCGTCCCCAAATTATTTTCAGAATTTAGTTTTTATTTTAGTACAAATTATACTGAAAAATAAAAATTTAAATGGACAATAATTTCGAGACCTAGAGTGTATAAATAATCATTTCGGAACCAAATTATCATTGCTAAAGTCAAGTCAACGATTACTTTAGTAATTTTTTTTTGGGTTACTTGTGTATTATTATTATCATTATTACCAATGCGAGACGCCTTAGGTAATAATAATACGTATACAAATATACAATTCTACAAATGAGAGTGAAAGATTGTGAAGAGACTGGGCACTTCGGGCTTTGGGCTATATATATAAAGATCACCGCATTTATAATTTCGTCTCTGTCCCCTTCCTTCTCCCCTTCGACATTACCGAAATCAACACTGCTAATTTCCGATTTCAGGTATGCCGTTTGCCGCCGTTACTCTGTACTTTCTTTATCAGAATTTTGGAATTCTTTTGCCGGTGCTCTTGTTTTTTGCTGGATATATATATATTTTTTTCATGCCTATGTGATGAATAAAGTGTTTTAGTCTTTCAAATTTTATGTCATAATCGCAAGGTTTCTGTCATCTGGAGAAATTATTCACATGCTAAGTAGTTCTTTGAGTACTTGTTCTCTCACGGTAGCGGATTTCTGTAATTTTTCCTGTTCGATATCTGTTTCGCCTGAACATGACAAAATCTTGACGTTTAGTGTTCTTTTTTCCCCCTACTTCTTGAAACTTTTGAGCCTCTCTTAATGATATGAAGAAAAAATATGTGTAGTTTTATGCGGATATGGAAGCTGCTTGTTAAATTGGAGAAGTCTTTGTGGCGGAATTCTAAATTTTAGTGCTGTCTCCTTACTGATTGCAGAAGATCATGAAATTTTGCGTGTCTAGGTTCGGATATGTCGGTTAGAGTTCTATGATGCTTTGGAAAGTTAGCAGCCATAATTCTGAGTTCTCTGGTAATTATGGTCTTGCCATACCTTTCAACCACCTTTTTGATGTTCGTGCACTAATACTGTGCCATTAAAACCAGAAATATACTGGAACCTGAGAATAATTGGGGTTTCTTGTTTGGTTACATGAATGGTTAATATTTCATGCTTTTGGTGTCTGGTAATTAGGAAAAATTTTGCTCCTGTGGGTTGTTTCTGTATGTGAACGTGTCTTGCAATTTTGTTTATTACTGTTCTGTATTCCTAGTAATTTTTTTTCACTTTCATCATTGATAATTTGCTTAGATGCTTGCCTTTCTTCCCTGTCTTATTTGGTGGGGAAAGAAACTTGGGATTATTTCTTATTTTGGCTGAACATTTGCCTTACTCAGGATCAAATGGGGAATCTCTTTTGCTGTGTTCAAGTTGATCAATCAACAGTTGCTATCAAAGAGAGATTTGGAAAGTTTGACGATGTGCTTCAGCCTGGATGCCATTTCCTCCCATGGTGCTTAGGTAGTCAGATTGCTGGCCATCTATCTCTTAGGTTGCAGCAACTGGATGTGCGGTGCGAGACTAAAACTAAGGTTTGTTCAGGCCAACCTGATTTTTCTGTTTCTTTTTCCAAACCATGATATCCTGACTGCCTAATGATTTTGAAGTTCTTTTTCAGAGAACATGTGTTTGTTCTTAACCTCACTTTTTCTTTCTCGTTTTGTGGTGCAGGATAACGTCTTTGTTAATGTTGTGGCATCGATTCAGTATCGTGCTCTGGCTGGCAATGCCAGTGATGCTTTCTATAAGCTCAGCAATACCAGGACCCAAATCCAAGCCTATGTCTTTGATGGTATGAGTCTGAAAACCTAATTACACCTTGAACCTGTTTTTTGCGGCTGCAGTAACTTAAAATTTTGAGCCTTCTACCTTTGATTATTCAGTCATCAGGGCAAGTGTTCCGAAGCTGAATCTAGATGATGTTTTTGAGCAAAAGAATGACATTGCAAGAGCAGTTGAGGAAGAACTTGAAAAGGTAAAATTTCACTTAGAGAGCGCCGATCCTATGTTCTTTTGATTCTGTGACTTTGTAACTGATTCATCACTTGTGTGGTAAAATTTTTGCAGGCCATGTCTGCCTATGGTTATGAGATCGTGCAAACCCTGATTGTTGACATTGAACCTGATGAGCATGTAAAACGTGCTATGAATGAAATCAATGCTGGTAAGTTATCTGACTTCCTCATTAAGTCAATGAAAACACATAGCCTTACACACTTAAGGAATTATCCAAGTATTCATACTGGTCAACTTGGGAGGGGTTCTTAGAAATGTAAATCTGTTTGTTTTATTAAATTCATCAATTGTAATACTGCGTAAAACTTGAAAATGAAATCAGCTAATTGGATTAGCATTAAGGAAGTGTACCTTAATTGGCATTGTTTTCAAGGAAGTTTCAAACTAGTTTTGGTTTCTAGGAAATTTCAAGCTAGTTTTTCCTGAAAAGTGCCCGTGGGTCAATATCTTGAGTTTCTTCCTAATAGGCCATTCAAATATGCTTGTAAAGGAGCTTTGACTTGTCAACTTGTACATGCTGTGTTGAACTTGAAAATGTGATATTATTGCTTGTAACTGATCTTGGTGGTGTATGATGCTGACTGTTATTTTGGCAGCTGCAAGATTGAGGGTTGCAGCTAATGAAAAAGCTGAAGCTGAGAAGATCATCCAGATTAAACGTGCTGAAGGTGATGCAGAATCAAAGTACTTGGCTGGATTAGGTATTGCACGACAGAGGCAGGCAATCGTGGATGGTCTGCGTGACAGTGTGCTAGGTTTCTCTGTGAATGTCCCTGGTACAACTGCCAAGGATGTTTTAGACATGGTGCTCATCACTCAGTACTTCGATACCATGAAGGAGATAGGTGCTACCTCCAAATCTTCAGCTGTGTTCATTCCCCATGGTCCTGGTGCGGTTCGTGATGTTGCTGAGCAGGTGCGTGATGGACTGCTCCAAGCTTCAACTCAACATCAAGCATTGCTGTAAAGCAAAACTTGGGGAAGCTGTGTCAATGCACTGCGGGTTTTATAATAACTGTGAATCTGGTTTGTTTTTGTTGTCTAGTTAGATCAGTCAACCCCTGAAATTGCTAATTTTCTCCTGTCCATGTAGAACAAGATTCTGGTGTGGTTATGTACAAAAAAGTTTATGTAAAATGTGTTTCTATTTAATTCTAATCGTCTTATGGTTCCTTTTTTTGTGTGTTTTTCTTGAAGAGCCAGGTAGTTTTGATTTTTGATTTTTTTCAGTGCGGTAAAAAGATATGTCTTCGTAATGTTTCCTTTTTAAAAACCATTTCAAGCAAGATCTTTAGTCACAGATTGATTATGGACGAAAAAACAAATCCGTCTACGACTCCCATTATATTGAAGCTCTAATAATTTTTTTCCCAAAAATAACTCTTTAACAGATTAACTCATAGTTCACTTGAGATTTCAAACAACACTTCCTTTCTTTCACATTGCGAGATATGAACATTTTCCTTCCTTTTACATTATGTACCAATTATAAAGTTTTATGCTTGTATTTCAAAGTTTGTACAACTAATATGAACATGTACAAATTATAAAGTTCTATTGTAAATTTTTTTTATAACTAAAAACAACACCAGCGTGCCGCACGGTGAACGCGTAAATCAATAAAGAAGCAGCACCTCATGGAGGGTTCAATATGTCAATGCCATTTGGGAAGAAACTAATGACAATTAACTAAGGAACTGAAAGCAGCACTATTTAACTCAACAGTTCACAAAATAAGTAGAGAAGCTACAAGAAAACTATCAGCCAGAGCAATAATGTCATAGAATTTGCCGTCAATGCTTTTATATTTAATCAAAACTCCTAGAAGTTGCAGTCAGGGACGTTACTTCATCAGAGAAAGGAAAGGAAAGATTAAGCACTAGATGTATGGGGGATTCAAGCAAACGTCTAAAATTATTTCTACAGAATTCCACCAAAATAACTGCCAAAATGAACAAATTGTCTGATCCATCCATAAAATTCCTTAACCTAATCTCTAGGGCTTAAGGGCCAAAGCCAGCCCAAACTTGGCACTCTTCTCAATAGACTTGGTATCAACTTCTCCGGATATGGTGAAAAGGGATTTGGGACGCCACTCATGTTGGATCAGAGCGCTGGCTGTGCCCAAATTGTTGACACGGGCCTTCACAGTCGTCAATGGATCCAGTGCATGCTGAGTTCCAACAGTGATGGTGTTTTCATTTGACGAGAATTTGTGAGCCACTTCAGCACCAACAGCAGTATTAGTAAGGGGGCTCACAATGTGGTAGTACGATGCACTCAGTGTATCACCCTTGTCATTCCTAGAGAACGTATAAGAAGGTTTGTCAATTTGAAGTTGCACGTAATTAAGACAAACAGACAACAAAGAAACACTAGAAGGATTGAGTTACTACATACAGGCAGGTTAAACATACAAAGTTAAGAAAATAGATCCAAAAAATTGACATATAGAACAGATATGTAACTATGAACTTCAGAAATGATACTTACCAGTTCAGTGAAGCAATAAGATCAGCATTGGTGAAACTCAATCCAGAATTATACTTAGTGAAGGTCCCCGTCTTGCTGTCGAAGGCCACATCAGTTCCAAGTGCCAAAACATTGGTTCCAAGCACTCCGGAAAAGTTGATGATGGGGTTTGCTGTCAAGCCTACACTTGTGGTTATGGCAGCATAGTCATGTGCGTACTGAAGTTCCAACTGATAAATTCACAAAAAAATGAAAGGAAAAAAAATCAGAAAATAACTAATGACTGCACCCACAACTTTATATAGGCAAAATGTGCTATTATACTTCTTTGTAGCAAAAGACATACAACTTGTGGAAATAGTAATTACTGCGAATTGAATATGCCAACAGTAAAATACGCAACACTAACAAATACACAATGGTATGTGCTGACCTTTCCAGATCGTTGGTCCGGAACTCTAAAGCTGAGAATGGTCTTCAAACCAGGCGTAGCTTCATCCACTGTGATAGTTGTGAAGAGCTGCAGACAAGGGCAATGGGAAGTTCAATTTCTTAAAGTTGCAGTCATCACTCAAGATCAAAAGATGGCAACTATTCTAGTCCAAATAAGAGTGACCAACATAAAATTGAAACAGGGGAAAGTAGATGATGCATCTGGTGGGAAAAAGATAAATATTATAAGCCATTCCATGAGGGGATGATAATCAACTAAGTAAAGAACAAGCACCAGCGCATGTACTAACAAGCTCAAGACTCAAATAAAACCCAATACTGCTAGAACCAACTTATGGTTATCTCCCAGATAACCAAATGAATTGTAATTCTAAGAAGTACTGTTCAAAATCTGACTACCATACACTCTGATGAGTTCAGATAGAAGCCAAAAATATGATCAAGAACGACATGGGTCCAGTGAAATCGATGAAACTAGGATATTAACATATGGCATCAAATCTCCAATTAAGAAATAGCATCAAATCTCCAATTAACAAATAAGAACTTACGTTGGAGTTTGTGTCAACTTTGATGTCGGTGGTGACATTCTTGTTCTTCAGCTGAGTATTTACATCAGCTAAGAAGAGATCGCCTTTCTTTGTTCCAGAAGACGTGATAGCCTGAGTAAAACAAACACAAAAGTCAGAAAGGAGCAGCAGACTCGGTGGAAACTCCACTACAAGATACATATTGGATGATCAAATCCATCATAAACATGAACAAATGTCGCAGTTGAGAGCAACAGCATAGACAACTCGATTCAGACATTCAATAAACAGCATTAATCAGTATGATACAGTCAGCAGTAAGTAATTCAAAAGCTATCCAACTTCAAATGGTATAAAATCATATTAAAGTGAAAATAAAGCTCAACTGGCATTGGTTACTTTAAGAGCTAATGAAATATAAGCAAACTATGAAAAATGGACAGCGTTAAAGAACTGCAAAATGTAATAATTATTTGATGAAGAACATACAGAATAAAGTGATGTAAATATGCAACACCTAATCACAAAAAACAATGCAAACGCAACAAAAGCTTTGCACAGAATGTAAAACATCAAACCAGCCATGCATCGCCCACAATAAAATTACATTCACGAGACTTAAAAAGACAATTAGCCCTTAAAAAAATAATAATAATAATAATAATAATAATAATAATAATAAAAATCTCTACAAGATTAAGCAGATTCAATACCCTAAACATCAAGTGACAGTTCATTATGTCCAATTATATATAACTTACAAGCCTACCAGACATGCATTAGCTAAAGCCCTAACCAGAATCTTCATCAATAATTCTCCCCCGGCCCCAACACCCCCAAAAAAATAAAACAATAAACAAACAGCCAGCTGAAAACAATTACATCGAAACCACAAAGCAGAATCACAGCATAAATAGAAGTAAGAAAAACTTACAACTCCAGTAGGCGAGTAAGTAGTGATAGTGACCTTGTGGTCGCTCTGGTAATCCTTGTAGAGAAGATCTATTTCAAGGCCAAAAAACGAAATTACAAAAAAAATAGCAAAAAAAAAAAAACTCACAGAAACGACATAAATTCAGTAGTGAAGAATAAACATAAAATTAAAAACAGAAAGAAAAAAAGGAACAACAAAAAACAGAAAGAGGAATCACCTCTGGCTTTTTTGCCGATGTCAGAGTAAAATCCGGGACCCTTAACCATGATTAAAGCTAGAAAAACAACAAATGGGGGGAGGAATTTCTAAAAGAAGCCGAGAAAGAGATCAACGGAGCTTTTGGAGCAGAGTAGTGTGGACTGTGGAGGAGGGGAAATTGGGGGAGGCAAATAAATATATAGTTATAATAGAAAAATGGGGGTATGAATGCCCTAATTTTGAACGGTGTGCTTTTCGAGGATTTCGAGGAATATGGACCGTAGGATTTGATAAAATGGGGATCGGTGGTTTCTAGACCGTATATTTGAAAGCTTGGTGAAGGGGATACTCGAATTTTGCGAGGGATATGGGAAGTTATTTTTTTAAAAAAAAAAAAAAGAGAAGAAAAGAAAAGAAAATTGAAGTTAAAAAAACTACACGTGGCTTGTGAAGGAAGAAAGTCAGCCAATTTTCCCATGTATTAATAATTATTATTATAATTAAAAATAATGACGTAATTTTGTTTATTGTTCTTCAAGACATGTCTTTTTGATAAGTCTTCATTTGTTTCTTTTTTAAATTTTTTTTGGGTGACCATAAATCGTCTTTTTCTCCATTGCATTTGCACCTTCTACTTTTTCCTCAAATCACGTAATAAGCACGCCTTTGAGCGGCACAAACGAAATTTGGTCCTGCTTTAAACGATGACGGAATGACTGATGTCTCACATTGATTTTCACTACGTGTCTCGTTCAACGAAAATCAGTAGTATTTTTGTAATCATACGTCTCGAAGTTCTACGTTTTATACTATGTGTAGTCATATTATGTTAAATGTTATTCCCGTCCAATTACAATATTTACATCACATAAAATATACTCCTTTATTAAAAATAAAAAGTTTAAACTGAACAATTATTTTGGAACGAAAGGTGTACAGTATTGTGACTAATCGACTCAGGGAATGATCTAAATTCTACACAATCATATAACAACTTCAATCAGGTGCACAACGAGCTATAATAAAACTTTTCGAAAAGTTGGAGTAAATTACAATCTCTATTAAATTTATTTTTTATTCAACCTTATGGTCTCTGCATCTACATACATATTAGACTTACAGCCATGATTCGCAGTTGTGAAAAAACAGAACACATTTCCCTTCTCCAAAATAGGTACATTCGCTGTTGATCTAAATGTACATATATTAGCCTATTAGATCTTAATTCCTGTCAAATTGCTCGATTCCAAATGAAAGTATGGCCAACAGAATAACCTTTTTGAGCACCTTTACACTCTAAAGACTTTTGATTATAATTACTGGCCGATTTGCTTTTCATCAAAAAGTCAAAATTTCTTACTTCCCTGGTTCCAAATTGCTTTGTTTATTAATTATATTATTACTATCATTATAGGACGGAAGAAATATTCACAAACACCGTCAGCTCCTTGATTCATAGGGACAGTACGTAGTAATAGGCCAATGCTACCGGCATGGCCATCAGTAGCCCCAAGAATATCCTATAACAACAAAACAGAATCATTTCTTAATGACATCTAGAACTGTACTAAAACAGAAACCAAACCTAAGAAATTAATTAAGATCGAATTCACTAAATGAAGAAGCTCATATGTAATTATGTACCCTGTGCTGAGGATCTCAGGATGGATGTTGTACTCCTTTGCAAACACAAATGGAACAATCCCCTGAGGAAGTGCTGCCTGTATGGATGATTTTTTTTTTTTTTTGCAGAATTCATAACAATGATTAGCATTATTAGCCTGTAGATTCAATTTCCTTGAGCTCGACGAAAATAGCAATTAATTCCCTGACCTGGACAATGGCTACTTTCAACAATGTTCCATGCATTCCAACAGCAGCAGAACACCCTGCCATGATAGCCGGACCGGCGACGAACTTCATTGCAAGGGCTAATAATGTGTTTCTTGTTCCACATGCTAGTAATTTAGCCTGTGAAGCCATGAAAAGACCTGAGGAGAGAATTCAATATAGGGATTAGGAATTTAGGATCATTGGCCGGTTTTCGTTTGGATTAACCATCACAGTAGTTGTGTTAACTGTTAAACAAAGTGTTTCTTGTTTAGTTTGATCATGATCACCTAAGCTGAACACTGCCATCCCAAGTCCTCCGTCTGACAGTATTGATATCGATCTATCCACAATTTCTGGAAGCTGTACTCCATACCTGAAATCAGGTTCTTTAGCAGGCTAATGATCGAAACATATACTCTGTCCGTCCCAAAATTATCTTGGCTACATGAACATTATTAATCAGTATTGTTGTCCTGTTGCTATATAAGCTTCAGACAATGTTACCTGAAGTGTATGCTTGACCAGATAAGACCAGCTAGAGTTGCATGAGTATTTGGATTTCTGACGAGCTTCCTTCCAATCTTCAATGGAACTTTTACAACCATTTCAGTCCTGCTTCTAACTTCATCTTGGGATTCTTCTTCTTTCTCTGCTGCTTCTTCTATGGTCACCATCTCTTCTTGGGGACAGATTGCAAAACCATTAACTCTAAACTCCACACAGTAAAAACTAAACCAAAATACTGCAACATGTTTCCCCAAGTCTCCTATTTAAATATCTTGTACTTCACAAAATGCAAAGTCTGATTGGAGAATTGGAGACTCAAAAGTATTGCTTTACCCATGAACAATGACCCTGATCAAGAATATGCCCACCGAAAACAGAGGAAAGTAGACTTGTGGGGTACCAGATATAGTCCAATTTCTGACTGAGGTGAACTAAAATTACCACAGGATTTAAGTGTACAGTTCCATTCTTGATTGCTTAATTTGATAAGTTTAAGAGGATTCTTTTTTTGAAAAAGAAAGAAAAAAAAAAAAAGAGGTTAGTTTCACTTTCCATTCTCAGGCATACCTCTATTGATGGCTGATGGTAGTGTCACATGATGAACTTCTCTTGTGGCATTGAGTTCAAACAAAAGCAATAAAAGATTGTACCAAATTAAGCTCTGAAGCACCACAATCTGAGACAGCCAAGCTGCTGCTTCAACTCCATACATGGCTCTCAACAATGGGATTCCAAGGACTAAAGTATTTGGAAGCGTGGATAAGGAAACACCTGTTAAGACCCAATTGAGTCTCAATCCTCCTCTATAACTTAATTTGGTGATCAGGGTCAAAAGGATGAAGGCCAAAATTTTTTGCAACAAATCTGCAAAGATGAGCTTCACATTCATTTTGTAAATGTTGTTTGTTGCAATTACTTGAAAAGAAAGAAAAGGGACTGAAAATCTCGCGACGAATTTGTTGATGCCGGAGCATTGATCAATCGTGAAGATCTTCCACCATTTTACAGAGGCATAAGCTAAGATCATGGCAGTATACAATGGAACTAAGGCTTCCACCACATGATAAACCTCGGTTGGAGAAACCATGGCCTTTCCCATGTTCTTGCTAGCTTTGCAGACATTATAAATGATATTTGCCTGCTTTCTTTATACTATTCCTACTTGGTTTCTTTTGCAAGGTTAGCCAGAAATTTTTCTGCATCTTTCTTAAGAAGATATTTCAATGAATGCTGTGATATCTTCATGAAGCAATTTTGGTATATTGTAGCTAAATTAGAAACCTAAGAAGTTTGCTTTATTTCTTAGGTTCATAGGTTTCACTTTTCTTATATATAGGGTACTTTTGTCATCAGAAGTCCGAAAGCATTGAATTCCAGGTTGCTGATCTCTTTTTTTTTTTTTTGGCTAAATGCACTTATATACAGGGCCTTTAGGCGCATAAGTCCGAAAATTTGCACTAGGCTTTTTCCGAATATACTTGACGTCCAAAATCACTATCACTATTCTAATTAATATGGATTTCAACTTCTCTCTATAATTGCTCAAGTGTGTTTTTCTTTTTCCAACTTTTTTTTTTTTTTCATCTTTGTTTGTTCAGTCTTATGAAGTGTTTTTATACACATCTATATACATTGTGGGAAGAAATTGTGCTTATTAAACGTATAATTAACTCTTTTTTAATCTTTACCTCTTTTTTTTTTTTTTTTGGTTTTGGTCAATCAGAAGAAATATTTGAGAGGAATAAAGAAGAGAGTGAATTGGAAGGGAAGTAAAATGAGGCCTCCAAGTAAATAATAGAGGGCAAGGAAGAATTTTTGCTAAATATGGTCAAAAGTGCGAGAATAAGTGTTGAGCATGGGGCGGAATTTGCTTTTGAAATGCAAATTTTCTCAGGACTAGTTCGGGTTTCTCTTTGTCCAAGTCATGTTTATACTAGTCTAGTTACCCTCCTCCCCCCCCTCCCACAACAAAAATAAAATAAAATAAATACAAATGTTGCTTACCTTGCAAATTGACATCTGATAAAGCTAGTCAATTTCTCCTCGTCATTTTCTTAATCATTTCATCATTTGTCTCAAAATAAAAATCGTATTTGTTAAAGTACAATTATGTGTAGATGAGCACGTAATTATTTTCTTGCCCAATTTTACCCATTCACATAATATTTGAATAGTTCTTTTATAATGTATCAGTTATCATGAGATGAAAATTTCGTGAATTGAATAGAAATCATCTATAATTTCGACCGTAACTCCGGGTACTAGCTTGAAAATCTCTTTTACTCTAAAACTAAATCCCGTTAGTTGAAAGTGAGTCATTAGTAATTTTGGGAGGATAAGAATTTTTGTTACTATTTTTATGTTGTAAATAAATGACTATCACTCAGTTCTTACTACTTCCCCGCGAAGATAAATGTGGAGGCATTTTAGTACCAGAAGAAGAGTTAATTTTAGATTAGAAGCGGATGGGACACAATGTGTTACTGTTGACCACAAACAAGAAGTGGTTATCCCCATGTTTCGGTCCAAATATCATTTCCCCAATACATGATTTTTCCTAGTATTTAAACACAACAATTCCATCACTCTTCTTCACAAAAGTCTTGAATGTTGTAGCTGAATCGCAACCGTATTTTCCAATCTGGTTGAAACGGCGACAACAGGGTCTGAACCGAAGGGTAAACACTTCGAGTTCGACCCAGAAAAAGACCCAAAAAAGAAAAAAAGAATAATTCAAAGGGGCTAAAAAAAAAAAGAAGAAGAAATTAAAGCAGCATTTTATATGCTATAATAATTATATTACTTATATTCAAGATGGAGAAAATGAATTCCAATACATTTTTCCTACTTCTATGTATATTGTATGTTACTGTACCTAGCCTTATCACCGCCCACCGGGCCACCAACCAAGACGATGTTTACTGGCGGAGACGAGCCCAGGAAGCTTGGATCAACACTCAAAAATCTTACAACCCCAATCCAGAAAAGGTTATCCACGCCGTCAATAAGCAAGCATCCGCGTGAGTTAATTCATCAATTTCATTTTTTTTTCATAAGTTAACGTTCAAATTCAAATAGGGCCGAGTCTACTGATGATTTGATACTAAACAAAAAATATGTACCGAAGATTTTGTCAGAATAGTTTTATTAATTATTACTCCTTCCATCCCGAAATCATTGTCCAGTTTAGATTTTTCACTTTTAATATAAATTGTACTAAAAAAAAAAAATCCAAACTAACAATCATTTTGGAACAGAAATATCAGTATATACTACGAAAGTGTTACAATTTAAAAAATGATTAAAATAAATGACCATGCAGGCTTACGAAGAGTTTCTGGAACACCACCACGAGAAGAGAGCTGAGAGGCAAACTGAACGGAGGCAAAGGTGAATGTAAGGCAACCAACCCGATCGACGCATGCTGGAGATGCGACCCCAACTGGGCCGACAACCGACAGAAACTGGCCGACTGCGTGGTCGGGTTCGGGGCCAAAGCAACCGGGGGCAAAGGCGGGCGAATCTACGTGGTGTCCGACCCTTCCGACGACAACGTGGTGGATCCGAAACCCGGAACACTCCGCCACGCGGTGATCCAGAAGGAGCCCCTATGGATCATATTCGACAAGAACATGCTGATCTCGCTCCAGCAAGAGCTGATCATGCAAGGCGACAAGACCATCGACGCCCGCGGGCACACCGTCCACGTGGCGTTTGGGGCCGGGATCACGATCCAGTTCGTGAAGAACGTGATCATCCACGGGCTCCGGGTCCACGACATCCACCAGGGATCCGGAGGCGTGGTCCGGGATGCCGAGGATCATTTCGGGCTCCGGACCATGAGCGACGGGGACGGGATCTCGATCTTCGGGTCCAGTGACGTCTGGATCGACCACGTGTCCATGTGGAACTGCAAAGACGGGTTGATCGACGCCGTCGAGGGGTCCACCGGAATCACCATTTCAAACGGCCACTTCACGGATCATAACGAAGTTATGCTCTTCGGGGCGAGTGACAGCCAGTCCAAGGATGCACTGATGCAGATTACGGTGGCGTTTAATCATTTCGGGAAGAGATTAGTTCAAAGGATGCCGAGATGCAGATGGGGATATATTCATGTTGTTAACAATGATTACACTCATTGGGAAATGTATGCCATTGGAGGTAGTCAACATCCCACCATCATCAGTCAAGGAAATCGCTTCATTGCCCCTGATGATAACTTCAAGAAGGAGGTAATCCATGAGAAATTTACTCTTTTCTGTTTTTTTGGATGATTTCATTCACGATAGTATGTTTTCTTGTGATGCAAGTTCCATTATAATAAGGTTTACATTGGGTTACAGACGATGTGACATGGAGTATATAAAAAGACGTATCTCATATATTATAATATTCAGTGAATTTTTATGTTGTATAAAGTTGAGTTTGATTTGATTGGATATGAAATTGAACAGATTACAAAGAGGGATTATGCTGACGAATCAACATGGAAGAATTGGACATGGAGGTCAGAAGGAGACTTATTCATGAACGGCGCATTCTTCGTGCCATCGGGGGATCCGGATTTTATGAGCAAGCATCATGAGCTTTACGACGGCATAGCTCCGGCAGATGCTTCTCAGGTGACTTGGATGACGAGGTTTGCCGGTGCACTTAACTGCAGGGAAGGAAGGAAATGTTGATCGGAGATCGATTTTTTTCCTTTCACTTTTTTGTTTTTTTTTTTACAAGTTTTAAAGATCATCGATTCCCTTTTTTTTAGATGTGAATATTAATGTATACAACAGAAAAACTTTACAAATTAAGGGCCTTTCTTTTCATTCAGGTTTTACTTTATGTTAATTGGTAAAGTACATAACAAAATTAAATAAACATAAAAAAATCCCTTGTTTGTTGAATGAACAGGGTACAACATGAACAAGGAAAGCTCAAGTCTGTTAACGGGATCGTCAAATGAACAGGGATTTAGCATATATAGTACGTCTTGAATTCTGCTCTCGAAAACGATACTGATCATACTTTTCTGGTAGAGGGTAAAGTTGGTTACTAAACACAGAAAAAGAGACATGTTTTAGGGATATCCAAATATCTTAAATTGAAACATTCCATGAATCTTATTAGTGCATACTCAGGAGTTGAGACATTTCCAATTGATCCATGGGAGGAATTTAGAATGGTGAAGAATATTGAGGTTCCACGACAAACATTCAAGAAATCAAAGCAATGGTATAATTAGTGACGAAACCAGAAATTCTGACACCGGAGGGTCGCCATTAACACAATTCCCATGGTACAGATATATTATATAAATGTGTAATCAAACGTCATAAAATTGGAATATTTTTGAAAATAATTGTTTCATATGTGGATCACACCTTCATATATATGTGGAATTTTTTTTGAGCTCCATTTGATTTTTACCATTCACAAATTTATATTTGGTAGTGCAATAATTAATTAATATTTTAACACAGTATGAAAATGAGTATTTGAGTTTTGATGTTTCAAATAAATGATTTATAATTATATATATCTTTTATGTGTCAATAGCCCCTAACTCAAAAGGATGATTTCTAGTTTTTTATTCATATAGTAATGCTACTTATGATAATGATGGATATCACAATCAGGTTTGAATCCTGTGACGCTTATTCAATTTTTTTTCCCCAAAAAAAGATGTTAGTATGATTATTCTAAATCTATAGTCCCTTTTATCCCTTTTACCCTATTAAAGCAGAAGACATGAAACTTATGTGGCAACTAAGTATGCATCTGTTTTGGCTCCAATGCACCATATTTCAGATTTCAGGAGTCTTTTTGCCACGTGTAAGTCTCTTTTAATTAGAAGTTATATAATTTTTTTTTAAAAAAAAACACATGTTTTACTACAAATAAGGATCAGTTACATTTCAAACAAATGGATATATTAAATCAAATTCAAATGTCCAATCGTATAGTTTTGCAGGCTTAATATAAACAAAAAATAAAAATACCTAAATCCAGCAATTAAGAATAATACCTTACAAACTAATTATTTATTATTCCCTTATAACCTCAGAGTTATAGGTATATTTTTTTTAGCCCCAAATCATAGCATAAATGATATATACGCCAAATTAATTCCTCAAAAAATAGTAATTCAATTAGATTTTAATAAAATAGTAATTTAGAAGGGGCGCCCGGGCATCTGCCTGGGCCAAACATCTAGTTATTACCCTATTAAAGCAGAATATAAGATGTTGATGTGGCAATTTCTTATTAAAAATTTTTGGCTCCAAATGTACCATATTGCATTAACCATTCTGCCAAGTGTCATCCCTTTTAAGAAAAAAAAATTCTTATATGGAGAAACAAAAGTTACTTTACAAAAATAGCTACACAATTTTAATTCCTAAAATTTATCATTTATCAATCAAATTAAAATAATATTTAAATTTGCCCATAAACTTATCCCATTTATTACTCCACATTCTTTTGTATGATTTCTGCATCGTTGTAGTTTTCAATATGTTTTTTCCTTTGGCAGATGGTTTTTTTATTTTTATTTTTATTTTTGGCTAAAAAGGGGAAAAAAAACTAAATGTGTAGTTATTTTTTTTTTTCAAATCAAGAATTCATTTATCTATTAACACAAAATTAAAGTAGAAGGGCGCCCGGGTATCTGCCTGGGCCAAGTATCTAGTATTTAATATAAAGAGCATACAAGAAGAACATGTGTCAACTTCACGTTTAATAATATTTTCCCTCTAAAAGTCATTTTTAGTACAAAATCATTTCTGACAAGTAGTTAGCTAGAAAAACAAATAAATAGAATGTTAAAAAAAAATCAACAAACATTAGAGTAGTACCAGAGTAAAATACGGGATAATCCCAGTGATTTAAAAAAAAAAATCACCATAATCAGATATCACTCAACATCATCCACAAAAAATCTCTTAAATCACGAATCAATCACTCACTACGGTATAATCCACTCTTTCATATACCATTTTCAAAATAGAAAAAATCCCATGATCAACTTTATCATATTTGCTATGTTCCAAAATCACTTTTCAATTTATTCTTCATTGTCCCGTCTGCGTTATTCTTGGAAGAAGTGAAGGAGGCTGATCAAAAGGTTTTGACAAAATCGTTCAGACGCAACCGGCGGAGAGCATAGGCTGAGGAATTGCAAGTTTGTGACGACGGTTGATGAGTTCGACCGGAGAGAAGAAGCGATGGGTGCACAAGTCCGTCTTGATCTCTTTGCAAATCCAGCCAGAAGAAGAAGCGACGTAACAACCAACGGCACAAGAGAATATGAGAAAGACGACTTCCTCCCCACAACGGCGTTCTCTCTTTATGAATTCAACTTTACACTCTTCCAAGGGTGGTAGTAAAAGCCCATTCCATACTTATCTGCAATTTATTAATTTTAGTTTCAATTTCTTCTTCAATTCTAGTCTGGATCGATTTTTACGACCTTATTTGTCAGCAACTTTCATTCGGACTTTGGTTAATATTCTGGAATAATTGAATTTTTATCAAATTAACGTATTTTGTTTTAGGGGATTCCAATTTTCAAAGGAAAGTTTGCCGTTTGTTGATGATTTCGGGTTGGATTTAGGGAAAATAAAAAAAGAGGTATTTTTTTTTTCGCATTGTCGTTCATATATTCAGTTTTTGCATTCTCAATATTATTGTTTGTTTGACCATTTCAAAAAAATAAAAAATAAAACATTATTGTTTGATTAATGGTATTGGTTTTACCTTTCCCGTAAATGTTTAGAGTCGTAGCACCAAAATCACTGTGAGCCATGGAATATGGGGGTGAGTTTTAAGAAAATTATAACATTAGATGGGAATTTATTTTCACATGTAGTTTTGGATTTTGTTATGCTTTGATGTGATCTAATGTTTTGATTTGGATTTAGTCAGACAGTGTTGCCATTGTTTGCTTCTAACGAAAGTTTGGAATTTATAAACATAATCAGGATCGATACAAGGCTGCTTCCAAGAAATTGGCATATTGTTTGCATCTTGCAAAGCTGGCTTCAAAGATGGCTGTGACTGTTGAAACCCTGTATGCTTGAGGTAATTAAAATAGTTGATATGTATTCTTTGATATTTTCCCTTTTCTCAGTGATTCTAAACAATGAACATTTCGGTCATTAAGTTCAAGAAATCGGTTCAAAGTTTTTTGTAAAAATGGTGTACCTAGCAATGCCACATGGTAAAATATTATTTTGTTCGAATGTTTCGTTTATAGCTTAGTCTTATTTTTCATTCTTTTTATTTGGGGAGTTTCCTGATTTTTTTTATTTTCCTTCAAGAAAATGGGCATTGTATATTTTGGCCCCTAAAGAGGTCATTCTAATTCTTTTGAAGGTTGTTTGAGTGAAAGTATTTCATTCAGACATGTATCCTGCAAGATCATTGTGATGATGATAAACATCCAACCTAGGCATTCGTCTTTTCGGATGATTTTCGATTTTGGAGGAAGGAGACTTTCACGTGAAATATTCAATACATGATATTCATTTTTCTAATTTAATGGATTTTAAACATAAGCGATCGAGCATTCGTTCGGGGCAAACATTTAGTAGCAAATCCCTTTTACCCTATTAAAGCAGAAGACATGAAGCTTATGTGGCAATTATGTATGCATCTGTTTTGGCTCCAATGCACCATATTTCAGATTTCAGGAGTTTTTTTGCCACGTGTAAGTCTCTTTTAATTAGAAGCTACATAATTCTTTTTTTTTTTTTTAAAAAAAACATGTTTTAGATGTGACACTTATCCAATGAAAAAATTCTAAAAATAAGAATCAGTTACATTTCAAACGAATGGATATATTAATTCAAATTCAAATGTCCAATCGTATAGTTTTGCAGGCTTAATATAAACAAAAAATAAAAAAACCTAAATCCAGTAATTAAGAATAATGCATATAAACTAATTATTTATTATTCCCTTATAACCTCATATTTATAGATATATTTTTTTAAGCCCCAAACCATAGCATAAATAATATATACGCCAAATTAATTTCTCAAAAAATAGTAATTCAATTAGATTTTAATAAAATAGTAATTTAGAAGGGGCGCCCGAGCATCTGCCTGGGCCAAACATCTAGTTATTATTAAAGCTCCCAAGCATGTTCCTCCTCACCCATATTATCATTAATGCTTGAATAACAAAGCCCAATCAGTTATAAGATAAAGTCAAATTGGGCCACTTTTAAACACATGAAGCCTACCTAGAAAGAAAATAGTCCTGAGTTCTCTTTCATCTTCGCAGCATTTCCGCCGCCGGGGGTCAGCTGTGGAAAAAACACAGCTACGGTGGCAAATCGGAATACACCTCCTAAGAGGTTTTCTGGCTGCCTAGTGCCTGGGGGGTCGATGAAACCCCCTTGCCCCCTTCGTTCCGTCACTATGTATAATAATGGAAGCGAGGAAATTAAACCAATTAATATTTGAAAATCTTATGCCAAAGTGTTTAATTAATAACTCCCTAATCCCTTATCACAAAAAAAAAAAAAAAAAACTCCTCCCTTATCAATTGAACGGTTTAAGTATCAGTCAAGAGCTTATAAGTCGTCCATAAGATCCATGAGCGAGCATTTAGGTCTCACATTTTTTGGCAACATGTTTCTTGTACATTTGTTGCATGTTTTATTATAAGATTTCTAACACAACTTGTAGGCAAATAAATAGAGACAAACATAGCCAGGTTTTGCTGGAGGGCAAGGGTGGCAGAACCAAAGGAATGTGTTGAGACATCCATGGTAATAACCTCTAACTCTCGTCAGGAAGCTGAAGAGTTCTAGATTCATTTTTCAAATCCTTCACCCTCACAAAAACAGGCCTCCACAAGCATTGGAATATTTTCAAGCAACGAGAAATAAATAAGTATACATGGTGAATTTTTCAGCGAGACAAGAAAATTGTATCGCGAAAATAACGATAGATATTAAAATATGTTTGATAGATATTTATTATAGAAATTTTCATAAAGTCGAGCCACATAATATTACACATTTACACCTGACAAAATTCAAAGTTATGAGGTGTGCATTTACTATTTTTATATATATTTTTTGGTCTTTTATAATAAACTGAAAAGAGTATTTATAACCAAATGTAACATCAC